TTCTGTATAATATACGATATTCTTGTATTCAATTGACATGAACTATACTCAGTATGCGATTTGTTATAACTGAGTATTTCTCATATATGTAACTTCATCCTAATTATTAATCATCAAAGTGTGTGTAAAATCAATATATAAATGAGTGTATTTTCGAATAGGTCGTCATTGTCGTGTTTTGTGGGTTAATAAATCTTTACTTATACCAGTGTTTGTGTTCCTACTTTTGCGTCGTGTTAATTGTAGAGGTCCCTCATTTCGAGTATAAGTGATAAGCGTTTCCGACACAACAATCAGCGACGACCAGATATAACAAGTAACGTTCAATCGACAAGACATATCATTTTCAACATTTACTCAATAGTATATAAGGAGTAGTTGTTTCTTCATCTCAGCGTAACAAAAGCTTTCCTTCCTAGTATACATATAATATTAGAAACATCATTCATAAAAAACTGTCTTATAAGCCCCTCTTTAGATTGAGGCTTTCAGAAGTATATCTGAGAAGTATCTGTGATGCAGCCTCCTCTTATTTACTCGAATAACATTTTCTGAGCTTATTACGCAAACCAGTTGAAGCAGTCTGCTCAAAACCTAGTTTTATTGCTTACACAGTTTATATTGTAAATTGAAATTCAAGCGATGTAATGTAATATAATTTGTTGGAAATAGGACTAACTGAAACAAGGATATTAGTGTTTTAGTATTTACGTGTTGAAATTTGATAATTAATGAAATTAAGTAATGTTTGACAATAAAGTGAACCTATTTTAGTGTAAAATGTAGCTTTTTCGAATATATTGGGAAATATTTAACATTCTAACAGCAAATTGAACTCTGTAAATGCATAAAAACTGTCAGAGTGGTTTACCTGGTTTTCATAGGTAAAAGCCATAAGTTCATATTAGGATGTAATTCTTTCACTTCATTTTATAGGCATTCATAGTCTTGAAATCATTAGTTGAAGAACACAATGATTTTCTTTGAGGTACTTTGAAAACATTGAGGAGTTATTAAACAATTTTCCGTTGTATGTAAACTTAGTCGAAGATGATAAACAGTAAAATCGGTTGAATGTAGTTCTTCAGAAAATTAATTCAATTTTTACTTAAGTTAACTAATTTTGAAAATTTAAGTTAATCACTCTCAAATGAACGTTGAAAATCGTTGTATCTTAGTTAAGTGGTCTTCAAAAATTCACATCTATTACCATGTTAGTGATGAAGACTAGAAATGTTTGGTCGCTTAAAGTATTAGTCCATTCCACTTTAACCCATTTACTGAATCTCATTTAAAATATTTGGGGGAGGGTATTGTAACGTGAATTACACTAAATTTATTTCTACTGGTTAACAAGTTGATATTCCATTTGGACAGCTTTTTTTCATCATAATAACTTCGGGTAAACTTCTGAATGGATGTATATACATATCAAATGTATAAAAACACTAATTCACTGAGTTGTACAACTTTGTATCCTATCTTGTTTGCTGATAAAGGTAGTATTATATTCACTTTGTTGTTTATTATTTACCCGATCAAGTGTAAATTGTGATCACATGATGAATTCGGATGTATGACAATAAAATGTACATCACTGACATTATGTGCATAGAAATCAATTAACCTAAATTTATCACCAAGCTACAAAAGCTATTTAGCTTAAAATGAACAACATTGTTTGATTTTTAATTTATTTGAGTCTAAATGTTCTATTATCAGAGATGGTATGTGGTATAATCAAAAAACAAATATTACAAAGTTTATACACACAGTTTTAAGCCAAGAGGATGATTCGTCCTACGAAGCTGTTTACAGGAGTAGCATCAGGATAAAAAAAACACCGAAGGTGGCTAATCTAAGAGATTATATCAATCTGTGAGGTAATCGGTTACTAATGTTAGCAGGTCGTTAGTTAAGCTGTACTATATTTGATAATATACTATGAATAACCTTCAGAATAATATGCGTTTCTATATACATTTGACTTGATCTCTACAAATGTTAATATTGTATTAATTAAAAAAAAACAAGATACTTCGTTTTCTTCTTTTTTATATTGAGGAAATAATTTTCAGTGTATATTTGTGTATCATATATTGCAAAACTCTTGGAATCATTCTACATTCATTAAGTTTATCCGTTCAAATTGCTTTACACAAATCATATGAAATTGTTTCAATAACTCAGTAGCAATAATTATTCAAGGTGCTAGGACAGACAAAAGTTGTACTGTGAAAATAAATTACTTGGTTTTGTTTTAAAGCTTATCAACTGTTAGGATGACATCAATTATTTCACAATTGATTGATCACTGGGTGGTGATCAATCTCATGCTTGTCTAGTCCTTATTTAGTGCAGATCGAATGCTGTCGACCAAGTTGCAATGTGGCCACTAGTCTAGGTGACTTGACATTGCGTGCACTATGTTGAGATGAGAGGGTGGTCGGAGGTAGTCACCAAGAAACCCTGGACTCGGATTTCGTGCTACTTGGCACTCATCAGCAAGGTGTACCTGTAATGTTGAGGGAACTGGTGCTCCCTGACGGATTAGATCCCGTGTCACCCAGGTTCACAGTCCGAGACTCATTGGATCTGCAATAAGAAGGACTTGACACACATGACATTGATCACCACCCAGTGACCAATCAATTGTGATAACATCTCAGTCCTACAGGCGGTCTGTTGCGGCCCGGATAGCTCAGTGGTAACGTCTCTGAATATGAAGCTGGGTGACACAGGATCTAATCCGTCAGGGAGCACTAGTTCCCTCAACATTACAGGTACACCTTGCTGATGAGTGCCAAGTAGCACGAAATCCGAGTTCAGGGTTGCCTGTTGACTACCTCCAACCACCATGATATCAATTATTTGTTTATATTTTTTCTTCATAATCAGCAAATAATTTAAATTGTACAGCAATCTAGAGAAATCATTTAATTTTCTAGAAAAACTGAGTGAAATTTATAATAAAGTACACAAGAATCTGTATACGTAAACTTAGAGGATAAAGGAAGTTCAAACGAGACATGGTGTAGAAATACTTCATCGACGACCTTGATTTATCTCAGAATGACCTTATGAAAACTTATCTGATTGTAAGCCAATCATAATACAGGTTATATAAACGGATAATTTATTATAGAAAACTTACAATTTACATGGAACATTGTGAAACTCAACAAACATCCTTAACAATTACCTGAAACGCATAAGCATTTAATTTTCGTTACGAATAGTATCTACATTTGTAAAGGTGTTTTTTGTAAATTAACTTACATACTATGTCATATACCCTTTATGTTTGAACAATAGTTATATTTATTAGTTTCAAACTTTTTATGTACTAAATATAAGAAAGTTTTATTCAACTTATGATAAATTATAAGGTTAGTTAGAGAAGTCCTACTCACTGTTTCCTCGTGGAGGAGGTGCTGTTCACAAAATTGAGAGAACGAGAAGCGAATATTTGGAGCCTTAACCGGTCGGTGGATGAGGAAGACCCACCTAGGGAAGTTGGAAAACCCTGATTCCAAACCAGTGGTGCACATGGATCCTGAGGGGACAAAATGTGAATGAACCTATTGTCGGTCACCGGTTACCATGGGACTGCATCTCCTGACGTTGCTCCACTGCCTTGTGGATCAGACCTTTAGGTCGAAGGCTCCGGGTGTGGCTCCCTAAGAAAACCACCTGCTTCGGTCTAGGGCACCCGGGGAGTATTACAGCCCACACATAAATCAAGTGACTTGTGTGGCGCATATGTATTCAGTGTCCCTTCGTACCAATATTTGTGTGTCCAAATAATGAATAAATAAATGATTTTCTAGATTACTTTAGGTAGTAATAAAAACTACCTTAACATTAAATTAGACTGATTTCTAGTATGTTATTTATATATTTGTGTGAATTCTTTGTTATTATTGGACGCAAAACATCTGTTTTTAAATTTATTTGAGTATCTCTTAATGTGGATTTTCGAAAGACTGGGGAAATTGAAACAGATCATATTCTGTTGTAATGAAACACGGTTGAGCTTGAAGACGTGAGTAGCCTCTTTGTGAGCTAGCTGATTATTTATCTGGCTAAAATCCATGTCTGCATACTTTTGTTTGAGTTAATTCACTGTTTTTACTCTTTCATGGCTGAATGAGCAAGTGCTAGGATGCATATACTGAATTCAGTTAAACCGAAAGCTATAAACAAATGCATTGAAGATAAATAATTCAGATAACTCTTACCAACACCCGACAATAAAGTACTGAATAAGTTTCTAATAAAGATGTGTTTCAGATGTGTGAGACCAAATTAAAACTTTCATCGTATACCAGTTATTCAAGAATTTCCTTTAAATTTCATTCAAACAACAGAGAGTATGTATTAGATTTGAGTGAAGTAGCAGTTTTCTTTGCTATTTTCAGTAAAAATAGACAGCTTGTTAACTAATTCACAGTTTGTTCTGATTACAAAACAAATTAAGATTTCATAGATGAAAATCTGTTCATCTTTCAAAACAGCTTCTATCGTTGAATGTAATAGATTATCGAATATGTGAACTTCAGATTTGTAGCAAATACATTATCTTTAAACCATTGAGTTTACATTTGAGGTTCACATTTTCCACTTAGTCAATCCAATATATAGATTAGGCATCTTTTATTGCTATCAACAATGTATTAATTTTTAAAATTTTGATTTTATGGTTTCACAATGGATGGCCATTTCGTCCTAGTATGAGATTCCTCAGCAGTGCGCATTCACGATCCCACCCAAAACCTGTCAATCTCGCGCGCGAACGCCTAACCTCTAAACCATTGAGCCGGCATTCAACAGTGTTGATGTCTAACTTCAACCAATCCACAAAATTGTGCAACCATCCACCATTATTTTCAATGATTTATTATCTCACAACAAACCTGACTGAACTGCACTGGTCACGACTTCTCACTAGAATTCCAGGAAATATCTCTTGAAGTCAGTTGCTAGTGAGTAGATGATGATTATTATCGGAAAACGTTTTATGAATTTCTTGAAGTTTCAGTCTTCAGTGAGAAGATGATTAATATTTTAAAAAAATATATGTATATGTATTTATGGAATTTATTCTATTTAAATATGTAGTTTACTATACAATTCAACTTTAGATATACAATTAATGAAAATAAACAACCATTGTATAATTATTTCTTTATATTACAATAAAATATTCTACATTAATTATTTTATCTTTACAATAAAACGAAAACTCTACCATTCAATGTTTAATTTATTTTCTTTAATCAATGAAAAAAAATGCAAAAAAATGTTTTGTAATTGAATATGAATGAATAGAAAACAAGATTAGAATAAATAATTCAATAAATCAATAATTATTGAATTTAATCAAGATACATGTTTTAACATACATAGTTACTATCAAATCTTATTATTGAATAATAACCTTAAATACAAGAAAATAACAATAATAATACAGTGAATTTAATTTAATAACCATAAAAAAATTACAGATACTCTCTTTATTTTATAGAATTATGTATAATAATTGTATCTAATGAAACATTGATTCTTTTTATAATATTCATTAAGATTATTTCACAATACTGATAGAAGTGACAATAGAAATAATGAAGATAGTAATTCTAATATAAATAATGATAATAGATTATCAATTGAAATACTAATTAAATTTATTTATTTATTTATTTTGAATTAAAAATGACGATCCAGAGCCTCAAGATATTTAGAATCAATAGCTTTAGGAATAAGTGTATGTCTGAAATAAATTTTGAAAAAAATTGTTATTTGTAATGTTAATCATTCATTGGATAGAAAAAAAAGAAAAAAAACAGGACGGGGGTGTAATTACATAATTATCAGTACAAAGAAAGGTAAGACTATAATTTATGGATGACATGTGAGCGACACTAAAATGACCTTCAGAGTGTTCACTTAATAACTAGGATGAACTGAGGGTTGTAAATTAGTGTGAGGAATTAGAATTATGATTTACAGTTTTATGGTTAAGATTAAGAATTAGATTTAGCGTTTTCATGACGAACTGACATTAGTTATAATGTTTAAACGGTATTTAATCAAATGGATGAGCGAAATTCGCTCCAAAGTTAGAAATCTATTATCTTATACTTAATTGGTTCATCTATAAATTATAATCTCGACAAAAGAAAAGTATTGATTGTATAACAATTCAGAAAATAAATATATGAATATAATGAATATGATCAAATTTTCAGTGATTGAATACAAATTAAAGTTGATATATATTATTTAGATTAGTGAATTTTTAAAGAATATGTAAAGATATGTACAGTCAGTATATTTATTCAATATGGTGTTGAGGCTAATGTCCTCTATATCTGACTCCAATAAATAATATCCCATTAACCGAGTATTTAATGAAGGTTAAATCTCCTGGTAGAATTACGGAGTTTACGCGAGATTATTCAAATGCTTGAACACCAGTTGTAGAGATAATTTATTGTTAATGATTAATAAAAATCCGCAAGCGTACAGGGAGCAAGCACACGATAAAACAAAGTGAGTGTGAGTCTGTGTTAAAAATCCATATATATTTTTGAGACTTAATCGGGTGTGGATAAATTATCGATTATCAGTACATTGCAACCAATAAGAGGATAGCTTAAGGGGTTAATGTGCAGACATGCATTCGATCATACACACTGAAATTAACATAGTGAATTAAGAGTCTGAAATACACACAGAAATTAACATGATGAATTAAGTCTCTGAGTTACAATGAGTAGACAAATGATCCAGTGGTCAAATGGGCTTGCCACAATGGATTCTCTTTCTGAAAACTAATGTCAATTAATTAACTATTTTTTACCAGAAAGTAATTTTATTATGTCTTTAATACAATTAATATTAAGACGAAGATAAAAATATTTTTTTGCTTCTAGTTGTGGTGTGTGATTTTTTATATCGACATGAGTAGTATAAAACGATAGTCATGATTAGAATGTCTGGGAGTAGAAGATGGAGAAGGAAAGAATGGGAACAGAAGTCAATTGGTATGAAAACAAAGAAACAATGAAGTACTGAGACGATTGATTGATATTTGCAAGATGGGCAGTTAAGTTTGAGACAATTGATTAACATTTTGCAAATGAAGTATTTACTGTATGATTCTCATATTTTAATAAGGGATTCTGTAATTTTGTGGTCGAATACATTCACCACATGTGTTCTCGTTCACTACATGTATACGTACAAAGTCAAAGTCTCGGTAGTTATATAACAAAGTGGAGTAAATGACTTTGTTATGTATTTATTAGTGGTTTTAACATAATTGTAAGAGGCTTTTTTTCTATAAGTTAACTTTTTAAAAGTTTGATAATACAATCAAGTGTTTGACCAATTTTCTCTTTGTTAGTCATCATTTTATCATACTTCCGTTTATGTAAACATTATCAATTAAAACTAATAGAAATATCATTTGTTTATTAATCTGAAGTAAAATATCCTACCTAGTCTCTTTGAATGTTTTAAGTGTTTTGTTCCATCTATTTTTAATGATTGGTTTTATCAAATGATTTATATGTAATATACAAATAAAAATAATAATTGTAGTCCAGATATTTTGATATTAAGTACCGTGCTGATCCAGTTGAAATACACTAAAATTATTTAACTAGTCATCATTTACTAATCGACTTCAGTTAAGATAGTCACTTTTATTGATAAAATGTAATACATTACACAAATGCTAACCATAAAAATCTAGCTGTTTCAGAATTTTTCAGAATCTTTTTTATTTTGTGGCTGTAGCTCGCTTAGGATATGGGTCACGTCGCCTGATTGAATCGAATTATGTCAGCTGATGTATTCATCGGGGTAAATAATTAAAAGTCAAATGGATAATGAGTAACTATGAATGTCATATCTTTACTACCAACAAAAAGCATATTTTTTAATCTTCAAAATAAAAAGAAATCACTAGCTTATTTTGTTCTTTTATAAATTGTACCTGTGTATTTTTAAAAGTGTTTATGACTACCTATATCAGTAAACTGAATGATTATTGATAACTGTTTCTAATGTGACTAAAATTTTAAAACTAAATTTATACTATTAAAATAACTAGTGGGTATGTTGAATCTTTGAAACACATGAAGTGAAATAAATTGATGTTAAATCCTAAAGTTTTATGTTCTTGGTATATAAACATGAGTTTATTGGGAAAATTATTTTTTTCCAAATAGAAGGCTTCAATCATAGATTAATCATTGTGTTTTGCTTATCCATTAGATAGATATATTTCAATGAACTTTGAATCAACATTGAAATTGTGTAGAGACTGCAGAATTTTCACAACTAAAATTACGATCTGATCTTAGTTGAATTACCACTGAAAACTTAAAAGAACTGGACAGACTTTTCAATCTAATGTAAAGTACAACAACAGGCAGGAAGAATGTGGATTTATTGAGGGAAGTTACAAAGTATTGACACGATTATTCTACGTAACCTTCAATCGCTCATTCGCATCTTTCGGTATGTTCCATCATCTGAATTGTTTTCTCGTTTGGTCTTCAAGTGTTCTTCTAACACTGTGCTTTCTATGCACTGAAGTGTTTCATTCCGTCTGACAGTTGTTGCAACTTTGGTGAGATGTTCCGCTATATACTGCTTACAAACAATCCTGTGAGTAGCATCCACTATACTAGTAATGGACATCTCAGAAGTATAGATCCACACCCTTGCATCCATGAGTCGAATTTGGGATCTCTGATGTCATGTGTGAACGTTGAAACTCCAGATCACTGAGCCGTCGTCCAGCAGTGTAATGAGATTAGATAAATACAATAAATCAATTGAATCTACTTGATTATTTTTAGTTGTTTCAATCTTTGTATATCCTGTATATTATTCATAGCTATGAAGCCACATTTCCTTATTTTCAAGTGTTTCATTATGACGATTTATTCGGTTTTATTTTTTTTGTTAGTAATACATAGGTTCTTGCTGAATATTTAGAGAAAACAATATTAGATAATAATTTCTTACCTTACAACTATTTGTACAACAAGTATTACAGGAAATATTAATTTCACATATGGACTAGGTGCGAATCCAAATGCACATAGAAATCCCAATTGTATTAACTGAAAAAATGTGAATAAATGGAGTTTTCTTTGTGGTACACGTCTTATGTAGTGTGATGGTGGATAAGCCGACTAAAATAGAAAAAAATCAAGATGGTAAGAGGATGTATCAAAATATATATGTATACATAAAAGATCACTGATACTATGAATAAAATAAATATTTTGTTTGTATTGGCAATTGAATTTTGTAGTTGAAGAATGCTATGCCGGAACGAGATAACTGTGCAGTGCTTCGTAGTTTTTAATGGTCGTCTAACTAAAGTTAATTCGTTGTGTAAGTTATAAAATTTGGTAACTCCATAAAGCCTTATTCAAATGATAATCACTTGTTTACTAAAAACTACTTACTTAAAGTGCTAATACTTAAGGTAGCTGTGATCAGTGGAGCTTAACTATTTTTAGAAGCTTGGCACTCTGGTCAATTAGTAATCAACATTGAAATTGATCCAATTTATCAACTAATCAGAAAAATTATGGACAAACATAGGACCAAAAATCAAATCAATAGGAGATACAATCAAAATAAAAAAGTAAACAATGATAGGCTAAAGGTCAACAATAACCAATCAACATCGTGGTCTACAGAACAAGCTGTAAGCCATATGTGGAAGAATTCGAACACTTCACTTCTACCTGAAGTTTGTGCTGATGATGTCGTTAAGAATAATGATGAAAGATCCACAACCAAACCATTCAGCTCAGACAACAAAACTCCATCAAAACCATTTGATGTATGTTTTACAGTTTTAAAAAATCAAAATTTTATTTAGATTAATCTACTACTTTGTGAATTGTATGTTGATAACTTCGATGAACCAGAAAACTAATAATTAATTTAATTTGTATGTACAGTAAACAAGTTCGCACTTCGTTATTTAATTAACTACATCATGATAACGTCTAAAAAGCGTAAACATCTCATAGTCTAGCAAGTTGATGTATAGTGACGAGCTCCGTTCAGATGATTATTCAACAATGATCTTTAGTGTCGCGATTCCGTCTGTAAACGACCGATCCTTACGGACTCCAGCCTGTTGATCTCGAAGTTGGGTGTCTACTGAATCTTTCATTCGGTTCAACAATACTCTTGCAAACTTTTCTTGGTTCCGTTAGTAATAGAAATTATATACATGATCCACACATAGAGTATAATTCCTAACCCACGGATAATGTGATCTTGAAATTCGCTATTACTGAAAAGTAATAGCTACTGAGATTAGTTATAGAGCTCTAAGACCGTTATAAGTAAAACTAATAAGTTATATTTTTGAGAGAACTTCCTTCAACAGTGAAAAATTACATAGATGCAAATTAAACAGAATTTCCAAAGTTTATCACTTGGTTCAGGTTCCAATTCACGGTAGAAATCTAACATCAGGATACATGTGGAATATGTCAACTAAATTTAATAAATGATTATTATGAATTTGTAGTTGAATACATGAGTCATGGAGAGTCTGGAAGTGTTGGACGGCCGTTTCGTCACAGTTTGGGAATCCTCAGTAGTGCACATCCACGACCCCGCCCAAAACCTACCAGTCTCGCGCGCGAACTCTTAACCTCTGAACCACCTATCCTGCACCCAAGTGTTAACGTCTAAGTTCAACCAATCTATGAAATTATGCAACCATCCACCATTGTCTTCAATGATTTATTATCTTTTGGTTGAGATCATGAATTAATTGATGTTAGACCACCGTTGGAAACCTGGAAGCACTGGACGACCGTTTCGTCCTAGTATGGGACTCCTCAGCAGTGCGCATCCACGATCCCGCACCCCGCGGGATTCGAACCCAGGACCTACTGGCTTCGCGCCTGAGCACTTAACCATTAGACCACTGAGCCGGCATCCAATGGTGTTAGTGTCTAACATCAACCAATCCAACGAAATTGCGCGACCACCTTCCATTGTACTGAGGTAGATAACTGTCTCTTCCCGACACGGATTAGCTCCACTGGTCACGACTTCTCACTAGAACTCCGAGAATTCCCTCACGAAGCTAGTCACTAGTGAGCACATGTTAATTATCAGTATGGGGGTTGTGGAGATCATGAGATCATGATCTCAACCAAAAAACTTAACAATCTCTACAACCCCCATACTGATTTATTATCTCACAACAAATCTGATTGAACTCCACTGGTCACGACTTTTCACTAGAATTCCAGGAAATACCTCATGAAGCCAGTCACTAGTGAGAAGTCCCACACTAGGACGAAACGGCCATCTAGTGCTTCCAGGTTTTCCATTGTGGTCTAGCTCCAATTGACTCATGAATTCAACCATAAAATTGGTAAAATCTCCACAAACTACTCTTTTGATAATAATTCTTATAGAAGTTTTATTAAACTTTAAACTAATATATTTGAATAACCTTTTCCTTTTGTTTTTAGCGGATAGTGATATTTTGATCATGGTAAATTTAGATATAATGTTGCATTTTACTGGAATTGACTTCCGTTTTAGTCAATACTGAAGAATACGACTTTGTTTCAGTAGAAATACCTCTTCATTCAATTGGGAAAAAGTTATATTGTATAAAAGATCAAAAAGAAAAAAGAAGACTTTATACTACTTAATGATAGTACTTACTTGTTCTGTAATAAAAAGTAATATTCTTTCAAACATTTGATTGCCTTGTAAAGCTGTTATAGCCATATAAATAAATAGACCATTTAATACAGGTGGAGGTATATAGATCAATGGATAAGGTATCATCGCTAATGATAATCCAATGAGTACATGTGAAATAAATAATGTTAATCTTGTTTCACGTACTCGAATAACACTGAGCAAAAGAGAAGAACATAGGGATATTTTTTCATAAATAACTGTAAAATAAAAAACACAGTATATATATAGCCATTATCTAGTCCCATATATAATCACTGGTTAAATAATATATCTTCGTTTATGGTATTTACATTGTTAATGTTACCAAGATGTTTTGAATTATCTCCCTTAAAAACATTATTTCATAATAAATTTTTATGCAATTAGTTTGTATTTTTAAATCCGATATTTGGTAGTTGAAATGACTTAACAGTAAGCTGTGTCCTTTATGTTTCTTTTTGACTGACACCGATAAGTAATAGTGTCTAAAATCTTGAAGGGAGCGATACCCATATTAAGATTTAAGTTGATTTCATCCTGAGTTATAGTTGAAAACGTTACAAATGAACTGTTTTGGTGATGACTGATCTATCATAGCACTGAAAATTTTACGAGAATTCGTTGAAGATGAGAATGAGGATGACAGATTAACTAGTACGAAAAGTATATCCTGAGATTTATGATGATCGTGTCTAACCACTTGACATCTGCTTCTTACTCTCCCAGAAATTTTTTAGTTTATGCCTCAAAGATAGAATTTTAACGTAAAACAGATATTTCTGTCGTTAACATTTAATATGGGTAGTTAACTTACTAGATGCTGAGTTAATAAAACAGAGAAAAATTTGGCAACTGTTAAATTCTAGCACTGTCGTCAAATGAGTTATTTTTACTGGTGTTTTATGATTTTCACCATCTTATAAATTTATGAATTTTATTCTGGATCCAATCGAAAATGAAACTTACGTTTGCTTAATATGATGTCCACCGTCAACATGCTCTTCCATATCCGCTAAGGCTTTCACGTGTAGTGGAGTATGAGGTAAAGCTGCATGAACCCATGGAAGACAAAATATTGATAATATAATGTTGATAAGTGCTATGACAAACAAATCCCAATGATTTGATGGTCCTTTTCTTAGCCTATGATAAACAAGTAAAGTAAATTAAAAGAGGGAGGCTGAAAATTCTTATCTTATGTGAAGTAATTAATACTAAGAACTATTCACATATTACGAAAGAGCTAGGAAGGTAATGACTCTTGCCAATCAATAGTAGTGATTTTCCATACAAAGTACATTTTTATTAAATACTGATTGATTTTTATCAATCCCAAAAATGAGTTCCATTGACTGAACATTTCAATCAAAGTGCTCTCTTAGGTAAAGTTCCTACTCATATAGTTTATTAAGACATATTACTCAAGGCACACTAAGCTATCTTGAATTGATCGAAAAACAGATTTCTTGTTGAGTCTAACAAGAAATCTGTTTAATTGATGAAAACTTCCTCCTTGTATTGCCGTGGTGCGTCTTAACTGATAATATTGTAATTCAGCTCGCTGAGTGACTTGACGTAACGAAAATAGAAGAAATTTTCCCAATGAATATTTCCACAAGAGACCAGTAAGAAATAGTTGAATTAATTTAGTGACCGTTTTAATCTCCAGCAGTAAAATTCTGAAATATGATAACGAAATAATTATATAACATTTTGTGGACCTTAAAAAACCTTTTATCTATAGAAGAACTGATCAATATGGTTGTCAGCATTAAATACGCCGATTGTGGTCAATATTGAATCAGGAAATCCTGCCTCATCTAAATAACTTATTAACATTCCTTTAGATAATAATTAAATCTCATAGTATATAAAGTCGAATTTCACAGCACACATACAACTATGATCATTGTTTCAAGCAGGAAATTGTGTAAAACGATAAGACAAGTTAATTTTGCAGCAAATGATTTCTCGGAAGTATTGAACAGTGAAAGCAACAAGAAGTTGATCAAGGTCATTCAGACCTATGCGATTACAGTAATCTGTCTGAACCAGCTAAACTTCAAGAAAATAATAGTAAAAAATTAATGATGGTTGTCTCTGTTAAATCACCAACCATGATTATATTTTTGTTCAACCGTCAACTTCATGAGCTGTATAAAGTAAATACTGATCTGAACTTATTTTGTCTCATGGATGAATAAATTTTATTAGAACTCAGTTTTATTGGTTGAAATTATCAACCTAAATACACTATTGATACTATTTCAAATGTTAGTACTATTAACATTAATAATGCATTATAACTAAGAGGAAGGGTTACTTCTTGATCGTTTATAATAATAGTTTAACCAGTCAAAAGCTAAAGGATTTTACTACAGTTAAATACTTGAAAACACTTTATTTTTTAAATCATATCACAGTAATTTCAGTTCTTTGCTTCAATCAACTGAAACAATACTAAAAATACCAATTTACTCTAAAGCTTAACATTTACTGTTGACTTATTAATGGAATGTTAATAAGAATTTCGTGTAAAATATAAAGAATATCTTGGGATAAGACATTGAATAAGATCAAGTTAAAACTGTTATTAATTCATCTTATATTGATTGTTTAAATCTTCCCACTAATGTTTAGCATTGTAATTGATCAGTCTAATATTGACATATGTGCATGCTGTCCAGATTGATCAAGTCACAAAGATAATGAACAGAAATGTATAATGACTAGTAATGGAATCCAGGACGCGCGTTTCATTCTATTACGGACCGGTCAGTTAGATGTATCTGCATCTCAGAGTTGCTTTTCACTCTGGGACTAGAACACTGTATTGTTTGCTTCAAATCTCAACGCTTTATCCACTTAGCTACCGAGACCAAATAACCACAGGCTTGTACAAAGGGATGGAGTTTAATTCATCTCGTGTGGCTTGCTTGAGACTAACGGTAATGAATTCGAGTTCCGGAGTGAATATCAGCTCTGTGATGCGGGTACATCCAGCTGACGAGTCCTAAATAAAATGAAACGTGTCTTAGATTTCACTACAATCCACCATCCATCTCTCCTTTAAAAATCCATTTTGTTTGTCTACTCAAATAATGAAGTCTAATAAAGTTATTATGAATAATAAAATGAAGAACAACAAAGAAAAACAAAACTATTACTTACTTATTAGATGGGGAATTCAGGATAGCACTGGCAATATTTTGTTCCATATAAAATAATAGTGATAATGGGATAGCTATACCGATAGATCCGAGAACGGCAGGCCAACTTAATAAGTTCAATGGGGCTTTGCTCAACATAAAATCGGATGGTTCAACTTCAAATGGTTTTACTGTGGGCAAATTGAAATTTCGAACAACGTAACTGATTTAATTATAGTATTCTTTAGATAAAGGTAATGCATGTTGCAAGAAAACGCTTCTATTGTCAGTGTAGTAGATGCTACTCACAAGGATGTTTGTAAGTAGAATGTAACGGAATATATCATTTAAGTTGCGACAACCGTCAGACGGAGGGAAGAGTCTCAATGCATAGAAAGCACAGTGTTAGAAGAACACTTGAAGACCAGACAAGAAAACAATTCAGATGATGGAACACACCGAAAGATGCGAATGAGCGATTGAAGGTTATGTAGAATAATCGTGTCAATACTTTGTAACTTCTCTTTATAAGTGCATATTCTTCCTACCTATTGTCATGCCTTACAACTGAACTGAACAAAAGGTCTATTCATCCGACTGCTTAATTCACTTGTTTACTTTTATTTTTACTGCCGTAACTGTCCTCTGATTAAGGGCTATGTTTTCATGATACTTTCATGATTTTGTTTTTAAGTAGACTGAAATAAAATTTGGTAAAAGCAAACATAGCTATTTATCTGTTTACTTTTATAGACATCATTTTTAAGGAAAAAGTTACCATATTTGCTTTTTTTTAGCTTGGAACGATCTATAAAGTATGCAAATTTAGGTAATATAATAATTTAGCTTTTATCACAATGTGATGTATACTATATATGTTTGTCGACATAAGTAGTATGTAATACTAGTCGGAAATGGAAACCCTAGCAGCAGAAAGCTATGGAAGTTAACTTGAAGAAAACAGAATTAGAAAGGAATTCTAAATCGAAAGAATCATGAAGAATGTGAATGACCGATGATAGAATTTTTCAAATAAAGTATTTAATGTATGGTTCTCATATTTTACCAAAATACTCTGTAATTTCCTATTGAAATACATTTTGTTGTCCCCATTTGTGTTTTCGTTCACTAAAACTGCAATATCTTCAGTCTAGTCCATTCATTGTAGTTTAATTTATTTGTCTACTACAAATTTTGTCATAGGATATGTATAACATAGAAGTCAATCGTTCAGATTATTACAATTTCATGCAACACAATTCAATCAATAGAAACATATTCGACTATATCACATTTTTATTTATTACAGACAATGTGATAGGATAGGTTAAAAATATAACGATGTTTTTTGAAGTACTCAAACTCGACTCAAATTCCTGGGATGCCTATTATTTTTGTGCATCAGATAATCTAACATCTAGTATGACATAAACGAACGATTGTTAGTTATAATTTAAAACTTCGATTGAGAAGTTCTTCTTCCTTTTTTTCTTACAAAATTTGATTCATTTCGGTAGAACAAACATTTTCAAAACAATCCATGACTAGTGATAAGATAATGAGTTATAACTTTATTGTTTTAACATTCAGAAAAAAATCGAGTTTACTTAATGAAAACTCAAATATTTAACATTTATAAAATACATGAGTCTTTTTTCAAAAAAATGAATATACAAAAAGTACTTAGTTGGATTATATTTTATACTATTTATTCCATAAACAACCGAATTGAACATTTCAAGGTTATTTTTTAGTAACAAGATTTTAACCACACTCATATTTACTTATTGTCTTAAAACATAAATAAAGACAAGACATTTTCTTGAACAAAAAGACTATAGTTAAACAGAACATGAAACACCCACATGTCTTCCTAGTTATCCACCTACACTCTCATTTATGAATCTATTTTTCTGGTCATTTATTCAAAATGTATGTATACAAACGTGCATGCACTGTTAATAATGTTTATCAAAAATGATAAAAGGAATGTACATCTCATTTACATTGAATAAAATTTCTGTCTAGTAGACTTTGTTTGGTAATTAATCAAGATTTCAATCTGTTGATTTAGATTTCATTTGATATAATAGTAAAAATTATGATGTATTGGTCTTGTAAAAATTTATGTTGTGATTACTGTTTTTATGAATAATTATTTTAATGTCTGTTCTTAATGGTGTTGTATTGAGAAAGAATTTCTTTGTAATAATGCGGTATTTTACTAGTTTCTTTATTGATTTTTACTGCTAAAGATTTTTCCACTGCATTGTATCTGGAGAAGATTATATTATGGGTAACTTCCGGGAATTGTTTATAGGTCTAGTACGTTCTAGGTTCCAATCTCGCTGGGCGGGATTGTGAATGCGCACTGTTGAGAAGTCCCATACTAGGACAAAACGGCTGTCCAGTGCTTCCAAATTTTCCATGGTTATCTAGCTTCAATTGACTCATGAATTCAATTATAAAATTACAAAAATCTCCACAAAGACCGTTCTGATAACTATTTATAGACTAACTAAATGTTACATATATTCATATTCCTTTCATTATAGTCTTCCATTTGACCTATTACTTACTATTATATGATTTAACATTCTTAAGTTATACCCAATCTATTAGTTACAGTCTCTCACAATCACAGCCACTTTTGGCTTGATCTTTTATAATTATTGTTTTTCATTTCATTGTGTGATGCGATCTGATTTGCTTGTATATACACTACGTATATCTGAAATGCACTATTCATACAGTAGAGGCTGAGAATTCTTTCTGGACTCAACAGGTAGAGCTAGGCAAGAAAAACGAATAAGGATTCAGAGTTGACACAAGGCTACTAGTTCAGTTTTGACGAGTCATTGTTTCAGTACAAGAACGATGTCAAATAAGTGGGTATTAGTGCTGGTGATTTTATCAAGTAATAATTAGCAGGACAAAAGTCATAACGCACATGTAGTTGGTAATTTGTTACTAGCCTTCCCAAAATAACAAAAATTGACCATAAAAATGGTATATTATCCAGTATCACAGATGCACTGTCATTTATGATTTGTAAGAAATTTCGCTTTTATTTAGTCAATGGGAAAGTTTGATCCTGTTAAGTCAATATAACATTTCATTTAACATAATATTCAATCAACTTACATTTTATGTCACCAAATATTAAGGATCCAACAAGTGACATACTAATGACTGCTATAGGTAAAGCAAAGTCTGTTAATATTTCCCGTTTTGTAGCAGTTAGAAATGGTCTATTAAATAAATAAAAACAATGGAAATTATCAAACAAATTGATATATCTTGTGGCTTGGATGGTTCTTGATATATATGGTCGTCGCTGATTGTTGTGTCGGAAACGCTTATCACTTATACTCGAAATGAGGGACCTCTACAATTAACACGACGCAAAAGTAGGAACACAAACACTGGTATAAGTAAAGATTTATTAACCCACAAAACACGACAATGACGACCTATTCGAAAATACACTCATTTATATATTGATTTTACACACACTTTGATGATTAATAATTAGGATGAAGTTACATATATGAGAAATACTCAGTTATAACAAATCGCATACTGAGTATAGTTCATGTCAATTGAATACAAGAATATCGTATATTATACAGAATAAAATATCATACGGGATAACAGAAATAAATACTGAGTTGGTTAGTCATAACATTGAATCAAAACGGAAGTAATGTTGAAGAAAACTCATAATGAGTAAATCTATGGAATTTTGACTTCTTTCCATCATATAACAAACAAAAGTGATCTCAACTATTGAAATTACTACAATCTCCACAAAACCCTATTTCGGTACCAATCAACATACGCTCACCAGTGACTGGCTTCAAGATGTAAATCCTGGAATTATGGTGAGAAGCAGTGACCAGTAGAATTCAACCGGGTCAGTTGTGAGATAGTCACTCACCGATGACAACGGTGGATGTGTCGCTCAATTTTATGGATTGGTTGAAGCTAGATATTAACATTATTGGATACCGGCGGACTCAGTGGACTAAAAGTTAAGCGCTCGCGCGCGAGACTGATAAGTTCTGGGTTCGAGTCTCACGAGGCGGGGTCGTGGATGCGCACTGCTGTAAAGTTCCACAATAGAACGAAATGGTCATCCACTACTTCCAGGTTTTCCATGATAGTCTAGCTTCAATTGACTCATGATCTCAACTATTGAAATTACTACAATCTACACAAAACACCTTCTGATACGAAGTAGATACTTCAGGAAAAATCATTTATATTCCGTTTTACAGGAACTACTTTTTTTCATATTGTCAATCTTAAATTTCTAGAAAAATCAATATTAAGCAAACAAGAGGTCAACTGGAATAATAAATCAATGAAAATATTTATATTTCATTGTTTTTTTATGATTAACACTGATTGTAAAAACTGAAATGTCTTCTATTTTTTTCTTCTTTTGTATAGTTATATTTCATTGAGGTATACATCGACTAAAGAATTTACAGTTAACCATTGTATTCCATATATGTTAATCTAATTTAGAAACTTCCATGTTCATGTAAATGATAAATATTTGTAGTTTTTATGAGTTATATTGTTTTTTGAAAAAATTCTTGTTTTACCCTTTCTATGATATTTTGACATTTTGTCGCCTCGAAGAAAATTTAAAATTCATTAAGTCAATGTATTTGTACTAGACACAATTTATATATGGTAGTGATTTATCAAAATTAAAATGATAAATATGTGAATAATTCAGTTTAAGGGTTGTAGAGATTGTTAACTTTTTGATTGAAATCATGAGTCAATTGAAGCTAGACCACCATGGATGCGCACTGCTGAGGAGTCCCATACTAGGACGAAACGGCCGTCCAGTGCTTCCAGGTTTTCCATGGTGGTCTAGCTTCAATTGACTCATGATTTCAATCAAAAAGATTAATTCGGTATTAAAAACTAATGAAAATGTATAAACGTTCAAATTAATCAGTAGGTCTTTAGTTGAATAAACTGATTAGGAAATATGCAAACTGTTATATACGAATAAAGAATAAGTGAATAGGAATAGCTAGGACCTAATTATAAGTTGTTATTATATGTATATGTTCTTATTGTATAACTATTAAGTAACTATATGGTATGTATATTCATATTCCTTTTGTTATAAGCTTCCATTTGGTCTATTGACTACTAATAAATGACTTACTATTCTTAAGTTATTCCCAATCTATCAGTTACAATCTCTCAAAACCAAAGCCACTTTCAGTCTGATCGTGTTTAATTGTTAGTTTTTATTTTATGGTATGATGCGGTATGATTTGCTTGTATGTCAACTAAGTATATCTGAGATACATGATTCATATAGCCAAGGCTGATATTGGTATTTTGACTGAACTGGCTGGGTTAGGTGAGGAGCTACTATCTCGGTGGACTAGTAAGAACTCAGAGTTGAATCTAGGGTGTTCGTACTGGTTGATGCGTCATTGGTCTGATCAAGAACCTCGGCGGCCTGCTTGATCATCTGGGCTACCTGTTCCTGCCATCTAGATATTTCAACAAGTTATCTATTTTTGTTTGTTTTAATATATCATTATGTTTATTAATCGCACAACCTATTCTGCTGCGTTTCTGAAAAGTGTACAGCTTTTCGTTGTCAAAGTTACAAAAAACTCAATAAGAGACAATGTGGTTGCTGGCAATATACAACGGAAATAATGCTCATTATTCAGATGTTCATTTAGTGAACTGCTAACATCTAACTGGCGATCACTCAATATTTATCGCCAGGACCGACGAAGAAGAAAGAAACGGAAACCTGTTGAAATACTTTGCGCTGAGAATTCTATGTCGGACCAAAAATATAATATTGAATAAAGCTGATAATAATAATAATAATAATAAGTTAGTGTTCTAAATGGTGATAATCAACAGGACATAAGAACATAACAACAACGATTTAAAGTTTATTGTCAGAAAAAAGTATTATGGATAGTAATCGTTGAATTTACGAGTCAATGAAGCTAGACAACCATAGAAAGCTTGGAAGCACTGGACGGCCGTTTTGTCCTAGTATGGGACTTCTCAACAGTGCCCATTCACAATCCCGCCCCGTGAGGTTCGAAATCACCATCTATCGGACTAGCGTGTGGACGCTTAACCTTTAGACCACTGGGCTGGCATTCAGCGGTGATAATATCTAACTTCAACCAATCCACGAAATTGTGCCACCATCCACCATTGTCTTCAGTGAGTTACTATCTCACAACAGACTCGGTTGAACTTCATTGTTTACGGCATTGGAATCCACTGATTGCCACTATCCATCTTTGCTTATGATTTCATTTTATGTTTCAAGTATTATATAATGAGAACATGTATATTTCGTTTCTAAATAATTTTGTTTCTATGCTTGTCGTTTCTCATTCTAGAATATGTATATTTTCTATCTAGAAATATTTACATTATTTAACTTATGAAGATCTCTTATAATTCTTCGACACTTTTTGTGCTTTCTATTATTCTTCACTTATAAGAATGTCTTCGTAATTATGATATATAATATGTACATTGATTTTATTGATTGATACTATTATGTTTAGATTGTATAAAGCTTGTGAAGTTAAATGTTATTACTTTAATCAAAATTATAGATGGGATAAACTATACGACATAACATTAAATATTATTTATGCTTTTTAATGAGCTAAATTTAACTGAAAAATGTAGACTACTTAAATCCACCTTTGTTTCATTATTAATAAAGTTTTGTGAATTTTGCAAATTTACCAGACCATAAAGTATTCTAGCTAATAAACTTTGGTAGGTGCATGGTTAGTTCATTTATGGTATAAAACCAAAGAATATATTTGCAGTTTCATTGATAATCATTAACAAGCATTAAAATATATAACAACAGTTTCGTGGATTGGATGGACATTAACTCCGTTGGATGCTGCCTCAGTGGTCTAGAGATTAAGCGTTTGAGCGCGTGGCCGTTAGGTTCAGTGCTTCCAGATTTTCCATGGTTGTCTAGCTTTAATTGACTCATGAATTCAACTATTAAATAATTAAAAGATTAGTAGATAACTAACGATTCCAATGACCGATTAAAGCACTATAAATCAACTATCTAATAAATATTCATAAAAATCACATCAACTATTTCATAACACAGTAGTTGTCCAAGTTATCTATTTGTCGTTCGATTAATTCCTTCTAACAATAAGATATAATCATAAATTTCTCTAAAACGTTAGCCATAACTGTAACACTAATAAAACAAATTGAATATTTAATATCTATTGATTGAACAGTAATTTTATAGTTGGTATTTTAATGGTAACAAAATAGTTGATGAAAAGAATTTTATTTGTTAAATATAAAAAAGAAAACAGATTTACAGATCACTTTTTATAGCCTTCGCTAAATGAATATAGATATATATGTATGTATATGCGGTTACATTAGAATTGAACCGATGGAATTTGTGATCATAAAATCTATATGTTAAATAAACAAATAGGAAATAATAATAATCTAGTCGTTTATCTATTGCATATCACAAAGAATGCAACATTTATGAAGAAAGAAAATACTATTCCAATATCTTGTACTTATTCATGTATGTATACTTATCTATTTATGTTTATTAAATATATGAATAAAAGTTACTTTTTGTTTCAGCATAGCAACTAACTTAAGGATATGAAAATAGAAAATAGAAATATATATCTGTTAAGCAATATTATGTAATATTATATTTAATGTTCATTTTACAAATATTTTTCGTTTATTACATAATACTATTTACTTATGTAATTTATTGGAATAGTTTAAATATTATAAAGAATTAATGCATTGAAGTAGATACACATATGATTCTACTTGCAGCTTATATGAATACATTATTATGGTAGAATTGTAATCCAAATTTTGATGTAAAATTATTATTTTGTAGTTATCAAAGAATAAATGACTGACGTTTGAAATCTTTAATATTCATATATTCAGTTACTAGTGAATAATACTGGAATTTCATAATGTACCAAGAAAAACTCAAATATACCAATTTAATTGAGCACATAAATTAGATTGTAATAAACAATTTTCATTTTGGTCCCGGAAAAAATGAACATTTCAAAATGAAGTGCGAGAGGACTTCAGGAATAAAATAATGTCATTGATTGACAAGGTATATTTGTGGTGTGGTTTACTTATATCCATATAACTAGTATGTGACGGTGGTCAGGGATAGAATGTATTGCAGCAGAAGATCGATAAGGAAAGAACGAAAACGGAACGCAATTGGTATTAAAATGCATGAACAGTGAAATCGGAGACAATGGACTGATATTTGCAAAAGGGACAGTCAAGATTGAGACGATAGATTGATATTTTGCAAATTAACTATTTACTATATGGTTCTCAGATTTTATTGAGATGATCTCTAATTTCTTGTCTTCATTCGTGTTCTTGTTCACTATAAATTTAGCATCATGATTTGTTCAATGGGCTTCTAGACACTTTAAATTAAACCAATTAAGAAATCGATAAGCCATTAGGGTTGTGTTTGACTACATCCAAAACTAATTCGAGCTACTGAAATGATTAATTAACTAAAATTATGAATAAATTAATATATTTGTAATATCCCAACCAGTAGAAAAATTAAATTTTTACTGACGTTTAGTGACTGAGTGTAAGCTACTTCTTCAGAAAATTTAATTTTTCTACTAACTGAGATATTACAAATATATTAATTTATTTCTAAAAAATCAAATTTATGTCGTTTACTGATTCTTGATGATGGAACGACTCTGAGTAATTATACAATATGATAGTTAAGGGATTTTCACATTAAAATGTAGATTATTTCATCGCATATAGATCAAGAATATCTAATGAAAGGTTTCAACTTAGATGTAATCTTTGCGAAGTCAAGTCGAATTCTAATTTGAACAGAACAGTAATTATTTGGTAAAATTTTAGTCACTCACTAGATACTAAACAGTTGAGTTTTATGTAAACTATTTGATCTACTCATTTGATATCAGTATATAAAGCTATGTTGGAAAGGAGTTTACCGATAAACATAGTTCGATTCAAATTCCATAAATGGCAAGAAGTCATTAATTTGTCATGCTAAAAGCAAAAAGTTCCAGTCATAGTGACTTGTTCCTTTTTGTCAGTCTTCTGGTTAATAGTCCGTGTATTAAAGGAGAATTCTCCCAATATTCCGTTAAGATGACAAGCAAAATCTCAATAAAATATACAAAGATTATTCAAAACAATACTTCTGATGATTTATATGAAATTTTATCATGATTCGAGTGAATATCTTCATGAAAATTAGGCTCAGTATGTATGAAAACCACGAAATTATGTTAGTACAAATTTTAACGGTTGAAATGAAGCTGTTCCAAGTTTATCCCGAATATCTTTTATAAAATAATGAAAATCATCAAAGATGAATAAAGTTGAAACTATTTATGAATTATTCAGTCAACACATTTATCATTGAAACAATCATACTAGAAACAATGTGACTACCTTCCGCTAATTCCAGACAATGTTTATGGAAAATATCACTGGAATCTAACATTATTAATATATCTAAATTTGATTGTTATATTCAATGAAACTTTATTTACTAATCAATTATTAAATTGTAAAGATTGTAGTAATTTTTAATAGTTGAATTTATGAGTCAATCTAAGCTAGACTGCATTTATTTATTTAAACCCATAAACATTGGTACGAGGAGGCACCGAATATATATACGAGTTATTATTATTATTATTTTTTATTTCAACACATAAATATCGGCACAAGAGGGCACCAAATATATATGCGCCACACCATATTTGTGTGTGTGGGCTGTGATACTGCACGGGTGCCCAAACAGAAGCAGGTGGTTTTCTTAGGTGGCCACACCCGACCTAAAGGTCTGATCCACAAGGCACTGGAGCAATATCAGTAGATGCGGTCCCATGGTAGCCAGTGATCAACATTAGGTTCATACGCCATTTATTCCTCCAGGATACTGGAGTCCATGTACATTATTGGTTTGGAATCAGGGTTTTCCAACTACCCTAGGTGAACCCTCCGTGTCTGCAACCCGGTTAAAGCACCTGATATTCGCTTCTCATCCTCTCAATTTTGTAAACAACACCCCCAGTTTCTGTATACATGTGGCCATGTGAGAGCATTTCGAGTGAGAGAGCTGACTCTCCTCACACTTGTATATACCAGGGCATTTGAGGACAGTGTTTTGTAAAACTATGAAATGCTAATAAACATCTGTGACATGGAATTAAAATAGTTAATTTTATTACTAAAAATTGTATTGAATAAGTTCGCTTATGGTTTATTTATATCGCCTTTATGTAAGCAAATATAAATGATAAATGTAGAGTCTAAATTATTTGTTTTAAAGGATGTTTGTGGAAAACGTACACATTTTCTCTCGACTAATAGTTTGACATTTGAACTAATACTTTAAGAAGTTATTCACATTTAAATATTGAAGCCAGTATCATTCTCATCACACTAATCTGGTGTCTAATGATATGCAGATGTTTATTTGAACAAAACTGATTATTAATTATGTGATACCAATCTTATGTTCTATTTGGCATTGTCTTAGATTGAACTGACAAATAATAATAATAATATGGAGTGTCCTTATAGTGTGACCGATAGAATTCATCATCATCATTTTAGGGGCTAGACAAACATTTTGGTATTTACTTAGTGATTAATTAATGCAAATACTATTCATTCTGTTCATAAACATTATTAAAACAAGAAACAGAGTCAAATCAAATCAACAATCGTCAATTTATAGTGATAATAAGCCTTCAATATTTCTTTCAGTGGAACAATCATTCAAGAACGTTTTATGTAAACTATTAGCATTTTATTATTAACAATAAATAAACTTACGTTTTAGTAAAATTTAAAAGATTCAATGCAATCCATACTGTACCTAGAAGTAAAACTAAATAAACTAGTGCAACTTCACGTTGACATCCTGACTGGATAATTGTAATATTTCTATTTGTATGTTGTGATGGTAATGATGGCAATGTAGAGGACGTTGATGATGAAGATGAAGATGGGAATGATTTGGATGGTAATATTTCGGGACAATTTTCTATAGAAATTCTATTAAATGAATAATTTGAATGAATGAAATTTATATGAAATCCCTGAATATTCAAAGTTTCATTTGATACTAATGAATAATTTGTTAATAAATTACAATGATAATTTTCTTGAAACGCTTGAATAAATGAAAAGATGGAAAAAAAATAAAGAGTGAGTGAGCAAGAGGGAAAGAGAGAGGTAAATAAAAACAATTTGCTTCGAGATATAATGAAAAATAACAAACGTAAATGAAGCAAATCATTCTAGTTTAAAAATAAAGTAGCATAGCTACAATAGTTTTCATACTTGTCGTAAATATAATACATAGACAACTTACTTAATACTAATTAGTTTATTAAGAAATAAATAAGAAATTGTGTGATTAATTTCTTTTATCACAAATAGAATAGTATAAAATAGCTTAGTGAATATATTTATTGGCAATTAAGCATATTGTTCTTCATTAACACAACATCATTTATGTTTTATATAAACTTAGATTTCTGATCAGTAAATTAATTTACTAAATTAATTAAAACATATTTTTTGTTCAATAATAAAAGAATTTATCATAAATGTTAGTTTTATACAAATACTTAACCTTTCTAAAACAAATACAATCGTCAATATTCTATCTGAATTGTAAAGAATGAAATCTTTAAATAAAAATGGAAACTGTTTCTATGTGTTCAGTTTTTATCACTAGTTACTTTACTTGTTGTTACTGTTGATAGGTCATATTATGCTTGAAATTTATACATGTTTTACATTAACAATTATGTAGATACATTTTCTTAAGTGTTATCACTAGTTTTATTGTGTACTTACCAGTGATGATTTGCTCACTTACTTTAATATTGTGTTACATCAATACCCCAAAACTGAACAGTTAGAAAGTATCGTTATTCTATTTATACAAACGATTATTAATTTTCTGTGGATAATGTGATTTAATACCTAAGACCGAGACCAAAGTATGCAACAATACTAATTCTGATCCAAAAAGTGTAGTTTTTGTATAAATATTATAAAATTTTAAAAATTAGAGCTAATGATTCTGATACTAGGGTAAATGTTTTGAGTTCATAATGGGACCTTCAGGCATCAGGATTAATTTTGTATGGAGCAGCACTTCTGATGAATTCCATAGGGAGACAACACTAATGTAAATATTTTTTCTCTAAAATAGTTAATTAAATGATTATAAAATTTATTTTGTTAGGTAATAAGAGGTAAAAAGCCATATAACTAAGTTTTATGATAGTTGAAAATTGTCATCAAGGTGTATAATTATCTTGAAAAGATTAGTGTTCATCTTATTACCAAAAATGATCATTTCACTATTCGAAGACTGAGTTATTTTCACAGTGAATAATTACTGTCTGTTTGTTCTGTCCCCATATACAACTTGAAATTATTGACCGCTTAAAATCGAACTACGGTTTTTTGAATGCATAATCATTTTCAATTTTAAAATAATTACACATTAATAAAGCCTACCACACTATGAGGTATTCATCAGTTCCTTAATGACAAAATAATCAGGTCAGAAAAAACTTAACAAAGATATAAATATCTCTAATTAGTTTCTGAATTATAATTACGTCGATATTTGAATTTGAAAAGTAGGATTAACGCCAATACTTTCGTATTTTATGATCTGCCTAAGACTCCTGTTATTTTGATTCATTTGGAATTCATGCATAAATGGAACTTGTAGGCCAGTAGAAACAATCATTTTGGAACTTAAACTATTATAATTTTGGCAGTGGTCATCCTAAGAAATATACTCACTGAATTTGTAGAGAATAAATGATACTCAAACTTATATTAGTGATTTGAATAAAATGTAATTCAAATAGAAGGAAAAAAGAAGCCAACAGTAAGTTGATAACCTGTTTGTGACATAGATATAAAGTTCAACAAATAAATCTCTATGCAAAGGAAAATATATATATATCTGCATGAACAGATACGTACTTGCATATAAATCGTTCCCAGCATCGTATAAAAATGCCATTGAAACAAACATAGCAAATATCTCTTCTGTCGATCTATCGAAAAGAAAAATTAGTATTGAATACAAGATCACATACTAAGCCGATATATTTCATTTAATCGAAGACAAAGAATATAACGGAACTTTTAATACATACGTCAATTATTACTCGACGGTTAAATAATTTAATTTATCCAACGTCATGGAAGTGTGATTTAGAAATTTAAGGTGGTGGTTAGAGATAGCCGTCAGGAAAGCCTGAGCCTAGGTTTCGTGACTCTAGATACTCATCAGCATGGTTGACCAGTATAATTTGACGAGAACCAAGAAGAACTTCACATATATGATATTTGTCACTACCCACTGTTCAATTAGTTGTAAATTTATCTCAGTACTACGGGAGGTCAGTCGCGGCCCGGACTGCTGAATTGTTACATCTGTGACACGGGATCAAACCGTTCAGTGGGCATCAGTTCCCTTAGGATTACAGATATACCATAATGACGATCGCCAAACAGAAAAATGCCTAGGTTTTGTTTTCTATCGACTACCTCGCACCATCACTTTACATCTCAACATAGTGCACACGATACTGAGCCACTGAGATAAGTGACAACAATGCAACTCAAATGATAGAATTCAATCAGCGCCAAGAAGGATTTAACATACCTGAAATCGGTTATTATCCAGTGATCAGTCAATTGTAAAAAGATTTAAAAAATCCCTATGATTTATATTTCTTTTTCATGTAGTGATATTATTCATATTTATTGATTAGTAAATTGCATTCGAAATATACTTTATGATTTTGAACAAAATACCATACATGATTTATGTACACAAAGTATTAAGTACGATTGCCGTTGGTATTGTGTAATAGTACATAAGTTTTATGACGAAGTCAACTTTTAGAATGATGATAAAATTTGGAAAGAAACTTAAAGATTCCAATCAATATTAATAAAGCAGATACGCACATTCTGATTTCATTTCAGTTCCTTGATCGTATATTAATGTGTTATTATAAGGAGATATTCATTTACTCTCAGTTTGTTGATTCTGTTTAACCTTAATCGTAACAAGAAAAAATATAATGTCAACAATAAAATGTTTTCGGTTATCCAGCTTAATAAGAAATTTATTTCACTGCAATTATGAGATAATATATAGATACTGTGGTGTGTGCTACTTATATTAACATAAGTAGTATATGATGTTAGTCGTAAACAGAAAGTCTGGCACCAGAGAGACAAGAGGATCGAACAGTACAGAATGGAAACAGAATGCAATTTGTATGGAAATGCAAGAACAATGAAATCTGAGTCATTTTGAGACAATCGGTGGACATTTTGCAAATTACGTATTTACTATTTGATTGTTAGATTTTATTAACAGGTCCTGTAATTTTGTGTCATATGCATGCGATTGTCCCCACTCGCGTTCTGTTCACTACAATACAATTAAGCTGAACAATTAAGAAAATACGTTAAATTCAGATGTAAACATTAGTGAAAGGAAGTTAACGTATTTGTAATTATTACAAAACTGTGTAACTATTTAACATAGATCAGTTCTTCACTAATTAAGTAGTTGGTTCGGTAATTTCCTCAATATTAGATCATCTCATAGTTTTGAAATAAACTTGAATGAAAATGTAAAAATAACATTATTGTTCTACTTTTCAGGATAAATAACAGAACTGTTTTGATTGAAAATGGGTTTACCACCATCAAAAAATGTCTCGATTAGCTAAATTTAGAAACTTCGTGATTGCTGGAGTATTATAGTGCCAGTAGAAGTAGTGGCTTTATTATTATTTTTACCAAATTATTCATAATGGCACTGGTTGAAGTTAGATATTAACACTGTTGGATGCCTGCCGGCTCAGTGGTCTAGAGAATAAGCGTTCGCGCGCGATACTGATAGCTCCTGGGTTCGGATCCCGCGGAGCAAGATCGTGGATACGCACTGCTAAGTGACCCCATACTGGGACGAAACGCCTGTTCAGTGCTTCCAGTGTAAATTATAGGCAAACGAATAAAAAAGAACAAGTCTCTTTTCGTAAAACATTTGGTTCTATAAAAAGAGTGACTATTTTAATTCGTTTATTCACATTATTATGAAAGAAAAGAATGGGATCTGGTGTACTAATGAGAAAGAAAAGTCAATTTCTTCACAAAACTATACAATTAAATGGATATTTGTATGAAAAACAAGAATGAAATTATTGTTATACACAATGAAATATATAAATAAGTCTATTTCATTCATTATAATGTTCAGATTTTCCTAGTGTCATAATAAAATATTAATTGATTAATTCTATAAAATAAGCGTTTAAAACATAGAGCATAACATACATATTGTTTACAATATAAAGAAATTCATTACTTTAGGAAGAGAAAATCAGTCATTCTACGCAACAAAAAGAAGTTTTTGAGACTAAGTAACATAATCATAATAATAAATAGAAACAAACATTCAGATAGAAAACAATATAAGTGAATAAAAAGAGAGAGAGAGTAAGCAAAAGTAAAAAGAGCACTTATCACTTACATATAGAAAAAGAATAATAGGAATTTTGATATAATGAATGGGTATACTTTATATTTATTCATTCATTTTTCACTAACAAGTATATTTACCACTATTATTATTATTCAATCAAACATTCAATAGAATATTATCTATTCAAAACAAAATAATATAGAGACCGTTTACGTAGAAAGATGAATGGATAAATTAATTGAGATAACTAAGTACTATTAATATATAAACTGACTAAATAACTAAGAAGTTTAATGAAGTAATGAGAATAGATTAATAAGTGTACAATTTAAATAAAAACAGTCAAATTATTTTTTGATTGAGATCGTGAATCGATTGATGTAAGACCACCACTGAAAACCTGGAAGCAATGGACTACCGTTTCGTCCTATTGTGGGACTCCCCAACAGTGCGCATCCACGATCCCGCTCGCGGGATACAGACCTGGGGCCTTCAGTCTCGCACGAGAACGCTTAACCTACTGAGTCACTGGGCCGGCATCTAACGGTGTTAATGTCTAACCTCAACCAATCCACGAAGTTGCACGACCATCTTCCATTGTACTGAGGTAGACACCTGTTTCTACCCGACACGGATTAGCTCCACTGGTCAAATTATTAATTTTTTCCAATACATGTTGGTGTGGTGAATGAGAACACAACATTGGGGACAATCAAATTTATTACAACACATAACAGAATTTCTTAGTAAAATCTGAGAACCGTTCAGTATATTCTTCATTTACAAAATGTCAATCAATTGTATCAAACTTGATTATGCATTTTGCGGAATGTCAATCAATTGTCACAGACTTGACTGATTCTTCTATCTTACACCAATCCCTCTCTGTGGTTGTTCTCTACTCTTTGATCTCCTTAACATTCTGCCACCAGGCATTTCCCTTTTGATTGATGACATATACTACTTATATCTGTCGACATCAATAACACACACCACATTAGTAATTTTTTTTATTTAGAAGAAAAATACACTTCGTTTGTTATTTCTCCTTTAAAAGCATTATTCATTTGTAATGCATTAAAATAATAAGCTTATATATGTAACAGATAACATTTAGTAATAATAATAAGATACTTGTAGAATGTAGTCAAATAACAAAATAATATTTTGAAATTATGAATTATTTACACCCTCTTCACGTATCCATAAACGAATGCAAATTATTAATAAAACGATGTGGTATAATATCAATGATATCAATATATGAAGATGTAAATTGAACTAAAAAATATCAACATTTTAAACTGCGGGGAATCTAAAAATTCCTCAGAGATTTTCTCAAAGGATAAGCTTCAAATCAATCAGTAGTCAGTAGACCTGATTTATCAACCCATTTGAAAAACCTCAAGCAATAATCTGATGAAATATTGACCGTAAAAATAGATCAATTAAAATACAGAGGCAGATGGAAAGAATAAAATCTGTGAAACTAACCGATTACAATTAAAGCCACTAGAATAAACTGATTTAAGCTCATTTTGATATTAAGTTAACTATTTGAATAAATCGTTTAGCTCACGGTACTCAAAACACATCTAAATAACTTTTTACTTTCAGATTTTTGCAATAGAAATGTTTATTAAACTAATCAACATTTTAAGCAAAGATGGATAGTGCCTGGCAGCGGAATCTAGGACACACGTTTCTTCCTCTTTCGAAATAATCAACTGGATGTACCTGCATCGCACAGTTGGTGTTCATTCTGAAACTCGAACACAGTACCATTCGCTTTAATTGCCATCGCATTATTAACTGAATGAATTTAAACATCACCCAGTTGAACAAGCAAGTGGCTATTACAACTCAATAGCTAAGTGAATAACGCGATGGCGTTTGAAGCGAACGGTAAAGGGTTTGAGTCACACAGTGAAAATCATTTCTGAAGTGCAGGTACATCCAAATGACGAGTTGAAAATAGGATGGAACTCGAGTCCTAGATTCCACTAACAACCACTACCGATCTTTGTTTATAATCCTTGTGAATTAAGACATTATCGAAGCAATGTGAACAGGATGCACATATGCCAATAAGAGACTGATCAATTGCAATCCTATACATTAATGGGAATATTCAAATAAACAATACCAAGTGAATTTTATCATTTTTAATTAACTTTAATGATTTAGATTATGAAAGTTTGATTTAATTAGATTTTATAGTGTAAATATTTTTGTTACGCATAATAACAAATGATATGTGTTATTTTTTATTATTATCAAAATGGACTTTAAAATTTGGTACGATCTCGTTTATATCAATTCAATGAGAAGGGGTGTAGAAGAAAAAAACAATATATAACTAACCTCGTAGACCATTTCATCCAACGACTAAATCCACAAACAGAATAAATGATTAAAAATAAACTATTAAACAATCCAATACATGCATACATTGCATAAAAATTAATGGAATATGTTTCAGATATGGTATAAATAACTGGGATAAAAAAAAGAATAAAAAGAAATGAAAAATGAAATTTATAAATTGTACATTGAACAGTAATAATGATATGGTTAAAATAAAGTATTCAATATAAAATCTAAATAAAATGTGATGAAATGATATTGGCGGGTAATAACTTTCAACATTTGAATATGAGAGGAAATCCTATAAGCATTTGAACTGTAATTATTAAATTTGAAATTCAACGATTAAATATTAAGAGTAGAGTTTGTAACTTTTCTCTTAGATTTGGATATTTTTTGTATACAGTAAGCTTACAAATAGTTGAAATTGGATTTTTAATTCCTAGTTATAAGGAGAAGCTCTAGATGTGGAAACGTTCATGTACCTGAACCACCATCGTCGATGTAAAATGAGGATTTGATGAGGATGTAAAAGCGAGGATTGGCAAAGCAAGGACAGTATTTCTATAATTTAAAAACATCTGGAATTCAGAATAACTGTTAACTAATATCAAAGTCAGAATTTTCAATACGAACGTCCAGACAGTCCTACTGTATGAAGCTAAAACGTGGAGAATTACCACATCCATCATCAAAAAGGTACAAGTACTTATAAGCAATTGTCTACACATGATACTCAATGTCCGTTGGTTGGATAACATCAGCAACAACCTACTGAGGGAGAGAACAAACCAACTTCCAACTGAGGAGGAAATTAGGAAAGGACATTGAAAGTGGATAAGACACACATTAAGGAAATCATGAAACTGCATCACGAGGCAAGCGCTAACCCGATCTCTTGAAGGGAAACGGAAAAGAGGAAGGCCGAAAAACACACTGCGTCTGGAAGCGGAAGCAGATATGAATAGCAACTGGAAAGAACTAGTAAGGATTGCGAGGGACAAAGTTGGATGGAGAGTGTTGGTGGGCGGCTTATGCTCTTCCATGAGAGGCAACAAGAGTAAGTAAGTACGTAAGAGATGTATATGATTTGTTTATAGACTAATAAATCATATTCAACTGAATCGTGTTACCTATTAGTGAATAAAAAGATAATTATTGCATTTTTATTTGTGGACTCCTAACAGTCATATATTCATTAATGTCAATAAATCATGTTATCTGAAGAGATTAGCATAATATATGTTACTAAGTGAATATTTAATGTTGGCTGGAAGTATTAAATGAAGCATAAATACTGTAATTTAAATTGTAGGCCATTAGAAGCCTGATTTCATTAGATAAGTAGCCAGAAGAATTTAAAATATAATCGTAAATTATTTCAATACAGCCCGTTTAATTATCTACACAATTTTAAGTTCAGACTAAACGCTAAATATCATAGTTCAAACAAGTTGTAGGGTTAATTTACAGCTTCTTGATGAAAGATTTCTAAGACGCCTTTGTTTTCTTCTCAATTGTTAGCAAAGATTCCAAACAAGTAATTGGAAATAGTTATATCTAAACAAACCGGAGCTAAATGTGTATGTAAACCACACACAATTAAAGACTTGTGTTATGATGAGTTTCTCTAAAATTCTGAATTATTCTGAGTTAGAACCAAAGGATTTCATTATAGAAAGCAAACTGATTAGTAACAGTTTGAAGGATAAGTGTTTCTGTTTGAAAAGTAATACGAAAATTTGAAGATATGAATAGTTTTAAGATTGTATTACAGACTTTAAACACGCAAGTCAAGCAAAAAAAGAAATAAGAATAGCTGCTTCTTTTTAATCTCCCGTTATCAACCAAATCACAGACAAGAATTCTGACATATCTATTGACATAAGTTTGTTTAAGATTACCTTACAAATAGTTTAAATTTTATTTCTATTACTTTTACATATCTAGTATCATTCTTTCATGTTTCATCAAATGTGTCAACAGAGAAATGTGAATGACTTTTGGTCATGGTTACAAAGTGGAAAATACTTATCAAAATAGAATAATTTAAAATATCCTAAATTGAAATAGTTGATGTATATCGAATAAAGGCTTACTTATTTATATTGAGAAAAACACACACACACACATACACTTTTGAATACATCTGAATAATATACCTTTTGCTATAAGATTATTTAATACATTATTATTTATGTTGAATTAAAAACAAATAACTTACTTTTTATGTATAATGCCAATGGAGCTGTTGATAAAAGTACAAGTAATGGTTGACCTCCAAAAACTCCATAACATAATCCACCTATCGTTTGACCCATTATTACACGTGTAACATCTGGAAAATTAATTTGATCATTCAAAATAAGAAATATATGAAAACAATAATTATGATAAATAATTTAAAAACAATGGTTATTAATATCGATGTTCTTTTTTGGTGAAGTTCATACATTTAAAAGGAAAACATCATTAAGTTATTGTTATTATTTACAGAAGTCATGAAAATAAGTGGAAAACAAAATCTTCCTATACTCATAATAATCATGTTCTCAGTATTGACTTTCATTAAGATACAGTGGCTGAAATTGAAGTGGGAGTCCGTGTCTAGTCGAGTTCAACCAAGTCGGGAATGAGACAGTTATCTATTACAGGCAACGGAGATGATCACACAATACCCCGAATTGAGGTCAGGCGTTCTAACTTTGTAGTGAGGTCGTGGATCTATCCCCTCGAGTAGCCCCATACAAGGAGGAAACGGCTGTCCGGTGCTTTCACGTTTTCAACGGTGGTCACGTTGTGCTTTAAACTATGAAAATTCTATAACTTCCACAAGCCATTCCTATGCTAAACAAGATAAATCGATATCATGTACATTGAATATCAACTTTTCCTTGTGTAAATCATTCCTATTATATTACTTATTTGCTAGTTTTCGTCATAAGAATGTGATTTAATATTTATCGCGCTTTTACTCACTAATGTATACTGGTACATAACCTGATGAATGCAATATGAAATTATGATATCCCAGTAGAGGATATTTATGTTTATCTTTTGTTTCTAAAATGTTTGTCATTTCTTAAAATCCTTCAGAATGAGTTAGTTATTATTACATTCTAATTTTACGAAGGAAAACGTTTTTCCATATTTTTATCGTCAATTAATTGTTATTCTCTATGATTTAGTTATTGATTGTTGTATTGAGTACATAGATGTTTCAGATGGTGCAATTATAAATTATTTTCCTTCTTTCTATATGGAAATATATATTGTTACATACCTACAGTGGATGCCTAATTCTCATTCTGTTGACTGATTTGGTTCACTAAACTAGAAGAATCTCAACTTTTCATTAAAAAAGTGCCTTACAAAACACGGGGTCGATAATTTATTTACTTTAACACTTTGAACTCCTTTCCCGTTTTCTTTCTGCTAAAGATGCATTTTATCTTTCTAGTACTAAGTAATTGACAACAAAAAATAGTATAATGTGTTCCTATTTATCAATTACATTAACTATGTCGCATATTATAACTTAAGCGAAAGAAACTTTATAATAAATTGTTTAATGAATTCTTCGATGTAATGTACCAAGGTTGAAAATATTAGAGATGCTTAAAATTGACAGATTATTTACGACAATCTTTTGTTGCGAAATTCCCTATGTACTACATCTTAGTAATCAACAAGAAATCAAAAGTTAATATATTCGTCATTATTTTTGATTTTTTTTATATGAAAAAAAGTTGAACTAACTGAAAACTGAAAACTTCATCCTAATTAGTACTTGTCAATAAAGTAAATCTTCAGTCATAGATAAACTAATATTCCCTATCTGATTAGAATACATTATTATTCAATTGGTCCACAAAGTGAAAAACGGATCAATCAGCACTAAGAACTTGATAATTATGGTACTGGTTATTACTTAGTGTTCAAGCACTGACTATAAGAATTCAAACACTTAGATGTAATTATAAATCTATAAAATTATCAAAGATGATATAGAGGGTTTGTTTGAATATTTCTGTAGATTTGATGTTTATCTATACCATTTTGAAAGATTCTATCACATTTAATTCTATAAACAAAGATAGATAGTGGCTAGCAGTGGAATTCAGAACGCGCGTTTCGTACTATTTTGAACTTGTCAGCTGGATGCACCTGCATGCGGATTACGGTAATATCGAGGCAATACGCACAGTATGCACATACACCAATAAGAGACTGATCAATTGAAGTCCTAAACATAATTTGGAAGATTCAAGTGAACAATACCAAGTGAATTTACCCCCACCCAATTGAACAAGCAAGTGGCTATTAGAACTCAGTAGCTAAGTGAATAACGCGATGGCGTTTGAAGCGAACGGTAAAGGGTTTGAGTCACACAGTGAACATCAACTCTGAAATGCAGGTACATCCAAATGACGAGTTGCATATAGGATGGAACTCGATTCCTAGATTCCGCTAATAACCACTACCGATCTTTGTTTATAATTCTTGTGAATTAAGACATTATCGAAGCAATGTGAACAGGATGCACATATGCCAATAAGAGACTGATCAATTGCAATCCTAAACATCAATGGGAAGTTTCAAGTAAGCAACACCAAATGAATTTTACAGTTAATCCTAGTTATTTTTTTCGATTACTATTGTTTTCTTAATAACTTTTATACGAACAGTTAATTTCGCTTATTTGTTTTCTATTATTATAGGTTATCAGTCAAAGTATTAGTTGGATATGCTTGATAAAACTACCTATTAGTTTACATAAGTTATATTTTCCACATTGATGCTTCTAATCAGATAGAAAATGATTGTAAATATGGTATAGCTTGTTATATTCACACAATATATATCATGCATTATATCTGCCAGTTAGTAATTAACTTAATAATTTTTGTTTACTATCCATTTGAGATTGAAGATTATGGATGAACAGATTTATACAAGACAGTTTATTATTTTTTAAAGAAAAATAAGGGTAATTGATTTGTTTCTAAGTTTCTTGTTTAGTTAGATCAAAAGAAAATAAGTCCAAGATGTAAAACAAATAACATTAGGTAAATATTTTGTTTTATTAAATTAATTAATTATTAAACAAAGTTTAATACAATTAAATTTTTAAATTAAATAGTTTGCAGAAAATGATTGATTCGAATGAATGTATGGAATGTATACAGTGTTCTCATTAAAAAATGAGATGTCTGTTGGACTTCTGTTTCATTTTAGTTTGTAACTTTTCAAAAGAGAACATCTTTGACCTACCATCTCTAAGTACCTAGGATGGAAACTTATGATTTTGGAGATGTTGTAATATTCTCAAACAATATTCATTAAAGTTACCATTTCTATCATTATAAATGAAAGATAAACTATTTCGGCTAATATTTTCCTGGCATTGCCACAATAGATAAGTTAAGACAATCAATCTTCTTAGAAAACCTTCAGTCAAGAAATCGGTCACATTGTAATTAAGATGTATTGATATAACCAGTTCCTTTTAACTAACCATTATGTAGCTTTATTTATGGAAAGGTAAAACATTGGTCATCCAAACATTATTACAATATGTAACGATTGCGATATTGACTGATGAAAACACTAGTCAGATGTCTCTGGATATAGATTTCGTGTTAGTTGTCATTTTTAATTAAATATTTCGTCAGTTTTGAGGAAACTGAAACTCTTTGTAGAATTTGAACCTTTGCCACCTAGTATCATAACCTGTTACATTATCATTGAGCCATTTGAACCTTAATTGAATTCATTTAGAACAGATACTAAAGGATAATTTGCAAAGATGAAGTAAAATAAAACTTTTTAACCTTTTCATATACAGTACTTTTATGAAGTTAAACAATTGTAATTACGCTTCAGAAAAATAAATGCTTAACATTCCATTTTATTATGTTCTACTTTCATCCCAGGCAATTTTTCATATTGGATAAGACAAAATCATTGAGGAAATACAATTTTACCAAAAGTTATTATCGTTTGAAACGTTACTGACTATATAATACATATATGAAAGAAGACAACCTATATTTTTTCTATGTAGGATTTTCTCATGTGTAATTGTTAGACAAAATTATTACCTGACTATTATGGTTAAATAATATTCAATATATGTTTACTATGGTCTATATTTTTTTGTCTTAAGGAAATTACACTTTCTTAACTGTCATAACTGTCATTCAATTTGTTTAGAATGATTCGTGACATAAATGAATACACTTCAGATAACATATAAGTACATATGTATATGACAAAATGTCACTATGAATTTACGTGAATTACTGTCAGAATATTGACGTAGACTATGCATGAATTTTTGTTTATTATAGAAAAATTATATAATAGTCAATACAGTAAATATTTTAACAGTTGAATTCACGAGTCTATTTAACCTAAACTACTACCACGAACCTGGAGGCACTGGACAGCTGTTTTGTCATAGTATTGCACTCGTTGGAAGTGCTCACACATGATTCGTCACGAGGGACCCGGATCCAAAACCTTCGGACTCGCTCTTAACATCTAGACCACTGAACCAGTTTCCAACGGTGTTAATGTCCAACTTCAGTCAAGTCTATTATCTGAGGTGGAAAACTACCTCACACTCAACACGAATTGGACTCCACTGGTCACAGCTTCTCACTAGAACTTCAGGAAATCCATCTTGAAGCTAGTCGCTAGTGAGCACACGATTAATATTAGTACGAGGATTTGTGGAGATTGTTGTACTTTAACAGATGAATCCACGAGTCAATCTAAGCTAGACTACCATTGGCAATCTAGAATTCAATTGTTAAAATACTACGATCTCCACAAATCCCCATAATTACAGTAAATATTATCAGTATAAAATATTGCACTGGAGATTAATTTAAAAGTCAAGTACATTTAGTTTAGGTAAAGAAAATTTCAAACTTGTCATAAATAATTTCGATAATTATTTCTCGTCGATAAGGACAGACAAGAGTAGTAATTGAAAAAAGAACACTATTAAGTAGTTTATATATGTTTTTATATGAATGATGAGTTGAAAGCGTAAAATAACAATAAGCTACACAGGAAATTCTCTGAAAAATTGTATTCAAGTACTAAACGTATATTTTTAGTACAATAATCACAATAATTGTTGTGATGTTGGCTACTTATGCTGACAGACATAAGCAGTGTGCTGCACTAATCCGAAGTGCAATACTTGGCAGCAGAATACTTAATTGAAGAGAACAACATTGAAAACAGAAAGCAATTGAAATTGCAACGGAATTGGAGGAATCATAAAGTATGTAGAAGACAACTGATGGTAGATGTGCAAACAAAGTATTTAATGTATGCTTTTTATATTTTACGAAGGCACTGTGTAACTCTGCATTAAACAATAAATTGCTTTTCCCTACCAAGTCCTCATTCACTAAAACTGTTTTGAACAGTATGGGAATAGTAATGTGAGTAGATATCTTTTAAATTATAGATTCAATTTTTAAACGTCAATGATTGAAGATCTTATAATATACAGATAAATTAGATGAAAAACCTTTAGAGTTCGACCTGTACAACAAATAGCCATCCAATCAGATAACTCTGTATAGAAAAACAGATTGGTACAACTGACTGACTCACTATACATATACGCAGTCACCTGCTCCTGCTATAGTTGAAGAGATTACGAGTTCACCTAGTCTGTGAACAAAAAAAAGACTCCATGATACGACGATCAATAAGCTAGTTATTCCGATGCGTCCCAGCCCTACTGACTATAGAGAAAAGTCCAGGCTCAGAAGGGGGTAATGTATTGCACAAGCAGCCAGAAGCACGAACAACAAAAACAATAAGCACAACTCAAGCGTATATATACCGCATAAACATTTCCTTGGGAAACGTTACAAAATAGCATATTAAAAGAGACAATAAAGTAATAGCATCTAAGGTCCTTCCAGGTGGAAAATACTACATGAAGGTGAAAATGAGTACTTTTAGCGCGAAAACAAGAAATCCAAATTTTTAAATAGAATTACAAAACTAAGGCATTTACCAAGTGAGTTCTGGAGATCTAACACGCTCAACAGTTCCTATGAGGCTTGGTATGTAGATTGTTTGTCTATTGGTTTCATGGTGTGGGACGAGGTAATAAACTTCCCCTTATGCCTGTTTTATATTATATGTTCTAATGAAAATATAACTACCATACCTGAATGATTAATTCAAATATACACTAGAGAGAGAAATAAAACAGTATCTGCCAAGAGCTTAGTCAGATTGTTAATTCTACACATTTAAAAAATACGTCTATTTTTTTAAGTGTTAGAATATTCAATGTTTTCACAAAATGGTCTTACTTCTTGATGGTAATATAGTTCAAATATTCACCAGTACTGTGAAACTAAATGGTATCCACAACGTTCTAACCTGAATTCGTGATTGATAATATCAGTCACTTTAGTAGTAATACAATCATTCATTAATCAGATAGGATGTTAATTTTTATTTCTGTTCACACTTTTCTAAGATTAATATTACTTTATAGAAATATGATATATGATAAAGTATTTTATACGATTATTACAATAAAACCATTCATGTCACCAAGATACACTATACAGAAATTTTAAATCTACAACTATTATTTAAACCAACAAATAGTAAACACTTATGATTTAAACAATCTTCCATAAAAACAAAACAATATCCCATGCTCATGTATTCAAAAAAGTTTAAACTAATGATATGAAATTTTGTTGCTAGTCTAAAACCTTCATGAAATTAATTTACCTTAATGAAAATCTGTCAGTGAATATATCCTATTCATTACCTAATGAAAAGTAATCTAAACTAACCAAAATTATAATTATCTATGTGAATAATTAAATATAAATGTAAAGTAATTTGATATTTGATTATCAATTCTGATTAAAAATCTTTTAAAATTTTTTTCAAAAAAAAAAGAAAATCATTTGATCTAAATTACACATGTCAAATTCAATTTTTCCTTTTCTAAATTTTGTCTATTAAAATGTTATAACAAATTTTCTTTAAAAATTATAAAAGAAAACTTTTCTTTCAATAGATTAAAATGTCAAAATATGAACAAAAAAAGAAGAAAAATAAATTAAAACAAATGAACAAACAGAAAAAAACGGTTTGAAAAATGTATACAGTCAGTCAGCTACAACATAGGACTAGGCATATGTGTGTATATATATATGCATTAGTTCAAGTTGCCACACCTCATTAGCATAATAAGATGAACACTGAGTTCATAGAAGTAGTTACTTCAATGATGATAATATATAAAAGAAAGATTGTGTATAAGAATAGAATACAAGAATGAAGAAAACAAATGTACAACTATACATTTATAAATATGGGGTTTTGAAGATTATTGTTTTTGACTGAAATCATGAACCAATTAATCTTAGACCTGGAAGCACTAGACGGCTGTTTCGTCCTATTGCGAAACTCTTCCTGAGGTAGATACTTGTACCTCAGTACAATGGAAGATGGTCGCGCAACTTCGTGGTTTGGTTGAGGTTAGACATTAACATCATTGGATGCTGGCCCAGTGACTCAGTAGGTTAAGCGTTCGCGTGCGAGACTGAAGGCCCCAGGTTTGAATCCCGCGATCGGGATCGTGGATGCACACAGCTGGGGAGTCCCACAATAGGACGAAACGGCAGTCCATTGCTTCCAGGTTTTCAATGGTGGACTTACATCAATCGGTTCATGATCTCAATCGAAATCTCATAATCTCCACAACCTTATATTGAGAAATAGATGAAAACGTATTTAAATCTAGTCATTAATTTTAAAATATTTTCCAAATTTATTTGAACTTACCCATCTTTTTATCAGTATTTTTGGAATTCAATAATCCAAATGCAATTGAAGGAAGTAGACAAGCAAAGTATAGGAATATAATGGTTGATATTGTTTTACGCATAGTATTTTTTCCACAGATGCCTTAATTTGAATTTTGATAAGTGAGAAACATAAATAAAGTAATATATTATTAATGAATAAAACCTATTTTATTTATCAAATAGTGGAATAAATAGTGGAATTTCTTATTTTTCTGCCTGAAAGGTTGGTTATTTGCGTCATGGTATACTTTCATTAATAGAAGAATATGACTAGATAAATACACAAAATGCTAATTTCCTAAGAAACTTATTTCTATGCAGTATATTTTAAATACTTTGAAGATATATTTCAATATGGGTTGATATCGGTCGAAAGATTATTGGCTATCAAGAAAAATATATATCAATTTGAATATAGTCTGATGTTTTCCTGTAATACACGTTTATGATACAACTTGAAATCAAACATGAGAATGATACGTTCTGATTACTGTGACGGAATTCAACGGTCGATAGTCTCTTGTTCTACCAAAAATTAAAATGCAACACCAGATATTTTCATGTAAGATGTCAAGAGATTATTCACTACCATATTCGTAATAGAATTAAGTTGATTTATCACTGATTATCAAAATAATAATCTAAGTATTTAGCGAAGTGTGATAGCTGTCTACCAGAAATCGGGATAACAATAGGGAGTAACAGTACCAGGGAATAGAGAATCGACAATAATTGATGAATTACAAATCAAATTTTTAGTTGCATCAAAAATACACGAATAAGAACAATTACGGTGAGATCTTTTAGCGAGATTAATTTATTCTTTGAGTAGTACTCGTCAAGAAACGATAGCACTTGGAGTGCAAGTGAAAACTGAGGAAAATTGGAGAGATTATAATTTTATTTAGATGTCCCATGACCAGTTTAAATTGTCAAATATCCGTGGGAGATTTCATCCTCATTTCAGTAGATGATGATTCGAAATGGATTGTACGCAGCGCTAAAAACATATATCAAGTGGTTCTTAGTTTTCATTAGTATCTTAGTCGATGTCAAATACAATCAGTGAAATGGCTTCTACTAGAATGAGTTAACCATAAAAATAAAAAAACAGGTGGAAAAAAGCAGCTCTTTGAAATAGACTGTTCACGGTGAATAAAAAATTGAACGCGTTGAATACTCATTTTCATAAGACAACCTATTTTTATTGTACACCAGTAAATCATTTATCATAAACTTGGACAATTTGATTCAAATAATGATGATTTTATAGGTATCAATGCCAAGGTCGGACTTAGTAATTTCAAACAAATTGAGTTATTAATAAACACATTTTTTATTAATTCCTAATGAGTAAGAAAATTGTGCCTCTAAATTTTCGTGACTTAATTTCAGCTGCTTCTTCAGAGTCAGTAAATAACTGAATTAAATTAACACAAGTTTGAACTATTTAAACTTGTGATAATTTAATTCAGTTATTTACTGACTCTGAAGAAGCAGCTGAAATTAAGTCACGAAAATTTAGAGGCACAATTTTCTTACTCATTGAGATATAACAAAAAATATTTGTATTTATTATTTATAAAAAACGTTTAAAATAGACCTAACGCAATCACAGTGTTCAGTTATTTCATTGAAAATGTTCTGAAACACTAAACATACCCTCAGTTATGTCCGACCAATAATATGGAATTTTACGCTTTAGATCTAAGTAAATTCCTTTGCCAATCTTTGACTGAGAACTCTGTTCAAATAAGAAAAAAAGATTTAGAGAAGTCTAAATTGTTTTGTTCTTTATTTACTAAACAATATTCATTAATTAATTGTTTACTGAGTGTGTTACAACAGCATCATTACTCAATTAATTGAAATCATTATGCTTCTATATTTTTAAAGAAAATGTTACCTTTTTAAAGGAAGATAAATCAATTTGAAGATTCATTCTATAATTATTTTACCTTTAATTTTATAGTAGTTATGGTCTTTGATTCAGTCGAAAAATATATTTTTCATGTAACATGATAATAATAATAAGAATAAGAATAGTTGGGATTATGAGTCAATTGAAGCTAGACCACCATGGATAACATGGAAACACTGGACGATCGTTTCGTCCCAGTATGGGACTCCTCAGCAGTGTGCATCCATTATCCCGCTCACGTGATTCGAACCTAGGACATGTTGGTTTCGTAACTCATGATTCCATCTGTTAAAATCACTACAATATCCATAAAAAGCCCTTCTGATAATAATAATAATAATTGTTTTTCTTCTGTTACTAATAACTCACTAGATCAATAGTTTGATTTCTAATATCAAGATATTGTGATGATCTACGTCTATCAGTTGACTGTTGCGCTGCCAATTGTTGTGCTCTATCCCATAATAGTAATTTTACTTCTTTTTCATCAGTAGCAAATAATAATTCTTGCCGAAATATTGGATCAGATAGAATTGTGCCAAATGTTCGACCAACTTCAATTTCACTTTTTGTACCTTTCTAAAGATGGAAAAAATCAAAGAGATGAGTTAACTATCTAGTGAATAAATAAAGGTATGTGGTTTGAGCGATGATGACAAAATATTTTTTGAACTGTTCGTAATCGAGTTATCTGTGAAAATATTCTAAAATGTAATGTGGAAGAAATGTTGTAACCCTTTGGTTTTATCCAGCAATCTGTCTGTATACCAAGGAGATTCTTCAAATGGCTTTGCAATACTATAGTGTGTTACTGATATCAACAGATATAAGTAGTATTGCCAATCGAGAGTGGGATGCCTGGCGGCAGAATGTTAAGAAAATCGAAAAAAAGAGAACGAGGATAGATAGTGATTTGCGTGTATACAAAGGAATAATAAAGTCTGAGATAATTGACCGATATTTTAAAAATGGAGTATTGACTGTACGGTTCTCAGATTTTACTAAGATATTCTATAATGTTGTGTTAAAATACATTTGGTTATCCCAGCCTTTGTTCTCGCTCACAACAATACTACTGAAATGTTTCTTATTAATTCAATTATAATCACTTGAAAAGATTATTTTTATCCCGTGAAGATGTAAAATTCTAACGTAGTTAACAAATGAAATCATAAACAAAGAAATAAATCTACAAATTAGCGTTTCAATGAATGTTGCGTTCAGTAAATCTAAATTTAAATTACAATAGTTAAGATGCATATTCCAGTGATTCTACAATAAAATAAGATATTGAATCTATTTCAAAATCGAAATCTAGTACAGCAACTAAAAAACTAAACATTAGTGGCTTTTTTTTCCTTATTAATTAAATAGGTTTATAAACTCAGTCGTTTGAATTAAATGAGTAATTTTAAAGAGAGCAAGAACAAAGATTAGTGCAGAATAATATGAATTCATTTTATTTCGTTAGGTTCTCATCAGCTCCTTACAACCTAAATTATTTAAAATTCAACATTATTACAGATATTGACATATTTATATATAAGAGTGTGAATAAGGATCAATACATGTGTATGATGATGTAGCGAATATTCAGATAGAGTTAATGAGCTCATAAAATGTTTGATTCGAATAATTAAATAAAGTTAGAGAGGGAGAGTTCTGGAACATTGAAAAAGTGATTAGAACTCATGAAAATAGATTAATGGTAATAAAGAAAATATGAATTGAAATCAATCAGTTATGTATGATGTAATTTATATTTCAGAAAGAGTTGCAATAATGACGTAATAAATAAATAAATAGGAGCAAATTAGTAGAAAGAGTGGGGGTTATTGTTACCAGGGTAAAGAAAGATTTATTACTGTCTCTTTTTGTATACATAGGTCTGGTTTTAAACGCTTGATTGCTAACGCTTCAGCGAATTTCAAAAGGTTCGAGTTTGATTGTTTGTTAATCACCTTGAAGGACTTCAGTATATCAGCTTTATGTCCTGTATTAAGGAGATGTCTGGCGATAGCACTGTTGAATGCGTTCAATCCATTTAACCTTAAACTTTTCGGAATATGTTCTTTGAATCGGACGTAGGCTCTACTTTCTGTTCTACCAATGTAACTGCTTTGGCAGGTACATGTAAATTTGTATACACAGTTGGTGGTAACATGAAAGGGATACATGTCGACCTTTGATTGTGTCAAAGAGCATGTTGTTTTGGACAGGACAATCAATTTCGCTGCAGGATAAGTTCTTGTCAGTGCAGTTTTTAGTCTCATATTGATTGATCCTGTGACATCGTCACCTTTGAATTGAAGTTTAATAAAAATAGGCTTTTTATTTGCTGTAATTTCTTTCGGCTTTTTAGCTTCACATTTGCCGTATTTCTCAATAAATTTCAGTGGGTATCCGTTATTCTTTAAACATTTTTTAACATTCATAACTTCCTCTTCTAGTGTATCGGAAGTACATATTCTTTCTGTTCTGTAAAACAGTGTTTTGACCAGTGCCTTTTTGTAACTGATTGGACAAAAGCTATTGAAATTAAGATAACTACCATTCCATGTGTCTTTCTTATAAACTGAACGTTGAACTGTACCATCTTTTCTTCTTTTCATCGCGATATCGAGAAAATGGAACTTGTTTTCTTTTTCATGTTCCATAGTGAAATGGATATTCGGATGTGCTTCGTTGAAAAACTCTAGCAGATTTAGTGCATGTTGTTTATTATTACATACGATGAAGGTAACATCAACATATCTCATTAACTCTATCTGAATATTCGCTACATCATCATACACATGTATTGATCCTTAATCACACTCTTATATATAAATATGTCAATATCTGTAATAATGTTGAATTTTAAATAATTTAGGTTGTAAGGAGCTGATGAGAACCTAACGAAATAAAATGAATTCATATTATTCTGCACTAATCTTTGTTCTTGCTCTCTTTAAAATAATAAAGGGAACTATGTGTATAAATGAGTAATATTGACCGTTAATTAATTTGAAGTTACTGTAATTAGTTCACCTGATAATATTTCAAAACTCTTAGTCATGAATTTGATATTAAAGAGAATAATAATTTTTATCAGAATGGGATCTTGTGGATATTGTAGTAATTTAGTAGTTCAGTTCGTGAGTCAATTAAATCTAGACCAACATGAAAAACATGGAAGCACTGGACGGTCGTTTCTGATAATAATTATAATAATCATATGCTAACTAGTGACTAGCTTCAGGAGATATTTCTTCAAGTTCTAGTGAGTAGTCCTGACCAGTGAAGATAATAAATCACTGGAGACAATTGGGTACGGTGTCCCAATTTCGTGAATTGGTTAAAGTTAAACATTAACACCGTTGGATGCCAGATCAATGGTCTAGATGTTAGGCGTTCGTGCTCAAGTCTGATAAGCCCTGGGTTCGAATCCTGCGTGACAATATAGGGGATGTGCACTGCTGAGAAGTTTCGCAGTAGAACGAAACGAGTGTCCGGTTTTTCCAGTTTTTCCATGGTGGTCCAGCCTTAATTGGCTCATGAATCCAACTATTATATTAATAATTATTTACTGGCTGTTAACTTATTCTCACCATCGAAATTCAATATAATGTATACAAACATCAAAATTAAAACAAAATTACCTCTTTCGTTGGTGTTATTATAAGTACAATCAAATAAGTTCCTTCACTTGACCTGCCAAAATTAACTGGATTATTTAATCGTGCCAAAGCAAGATAACGTTTATGAATTGATCTTAATGAACACCTAATTCAAGTAGTAGAAACAATTTGAAATAATCTTATAACATGGTAAATAGAGTTCAAGTAACAATTAACTGTTTTTCGTAAAGTATTCTAATCTTAAGCAACTTTATACGGTTATTTCTAAAAGATATTAAATAAGAAAGTTTGGTCCAGTGAAGAGTTTGCTTCTCGGCAAATTCATTTTCAAAGCTGTGCAAATACAAATTTATCTACTTATTTTACAGGATGATAATAATTACAATAATACTGATAGTGAACTTCTGTTAGACATGGTGACAGTGAGGTAAATTAAACAAGGCCATTAACAATAAAAAACTGTTAAACTTTCTTTGTTTAAAAAATTTTTTAATGCCTTTGCTTATTTTATCTCACTGTCACCATGCCTAACAAAAGTTTATTATCAGTATTATTGTGATTATTATCATCCTGTAAAATAAGTATGTATAATTGTGATTGTACAGCTTTGAAAATGAATTTGCCGAAGAGCGAACTCTTCACTGAACTAATCTTTCTTATTTAAAATCTTAATGGGTGTATTTCGTTTATTAAAAAAATTTCTAAAAAGAAGACACATCTACATAATGATGAACACATGTCCTAGGGTTTTAATGAAGTAAATAATTTAGAATTAATTGTTTATTATCATATTACTGTCTGAAATCATTATCTTTTTGAACCAATGTTTGGATATTTATTTTTCCTTGAACACTGTAAAAAGAATAATGTCATGTTTCTGTATTTCAAACTAATTGAAAGTTTGGTTATCTATCAGGCACTTATGAATAGTTTTCATGATCTAATAATCAACACTGAAATTGAAACTAAAAGCTATTTGGTTAAAGATTTAAATAGCAAGGATATATTTTAATAAAGGAAACAGCAGAAATACAGTTTGTTTAAAGTTACTTATCTGAAATAACCCTTAAGATGACTAATTTTCAGTTAAGCAAATGATTTCTAAACGATAGTTTAGAAAATTCATCAGTCTGTGCTAAATGAAAGTTTTGATTATTTATCGATAAATGGATTCAGTTAGTCCTAATATCACTATAGTTGAAAAAACAAACTTCATATTAGTCAATATATATGAATGGTTGTACCATTTGGGTGCTGCTATTATTATTATTGTTCAGGGTGACTACTTACATGGCACAAATCCAACTTTGATCGGTTGACAAACAATCACCATCTCTCAGTGAAACTCCTTTAATTGTTTTTGCGAGCCTTTGATCTAGAAAAAAAATAAAACAGATGATAAACTCACTACATGAAAACTGATCAAATAAAGTATGATGAAGCTACTGTCTAAGAAATTAACTGAAACTTAGAAGGAATGTCTTATCAAATAATTAGTTCAAAAAGTTTTATTTCCAGTGAAATATTAAGAGGAACAGTAACGTTTGAACTTTCTGAGACTCGTATAACAATATCTATTCATTAATCATAATGCAAGTAGTGAAATTTCATCTCAAAAGTATTGATTATGCTGTAAATGTTTATTAAGTAATGTTCATTAAGTCGTGTAAAACCAGTTGAAATTTTCATAAATTTTGTTTATGATTGTAGAATATGGTTAGAATTTTCACTATTCATTACCTAAAAATGTTTTACTTTACGATCTTGGAACATCCAGTTTATTTCGATTTCCAGAAAGTTCTGTAATACTTATTTGACAAAATGATAACATCTTAATGTTAGTCTACTGGTCTCTAAATCCTTTAGCCGATAACAGATAAATTAGTTTATTATCAGCATAAAGTTGTGGAGATGAATAAATTTTAATTAAGATCATGAATCGACTTGTGATAGACCTTTATTAAAAACATAGATGCGCTGGACGGCCATTTCGTCTTAACTTAGGACTCCCCAGAAATGCGTACTCACTACACAGCACGCCAGACTTCGACCCAAGACCTTCAGTTTGACGTTTCTCATAAGAACTTCAATAATTACTTTTCGAATCTAGTCATTAGTGAGCACATGCTAATTATCAGTACAGGGTTGTGAAGATTGCTGAGTGTTTTGTTGAGATCATCTTCAATAAAACATGAAATGTTCAAACATAACAGAAAATTATCACGTTGTTACCATGGTTTTCAATATCAAATGAAAACGTTATGTTTGGTGCTTTCAATCGTTTTGCTATCTTATTTAGTTTGAGAGTCTTATAAATTGAAACGTAATTTTCATTTCAGAATTAATTTTAAATGTCTGGAATTAACCACAACTGCTTCCTATGAACCTTTGAGTTTACCGCAGCTAAGAAAAGAATACATAGCATAGATCAAATTTTCAATTCAAGCCTCTAACAAAAAGTACATTCTACTAAAAGCACTCACTAGCTAAATAGGAAATTGGATGAAATTGCTAGATATAAAACATACATTGTGCATTGAAGACGGTGGAAGTAAATTCAACCATAATTTCATTGTTAACTATTGTAGAGACAAGCATTTATTCATCTGATCGAAAAAGATTTGATTTAATTTCACAAGATTCTGTCAAATAAGCTTCACAAACCGAACATCTAGAAAGATGAACTAGTTAACTTACTCCGTAAGGAAGATTAAAGCCGGTTTTTGGTAAAAAGAATTCATTATTTTGTACTATAAACTTTTGTGAATTTAGTAGCAAAATGGCTCCCTTTATCAATGTTCACTTTTGATTTTAATCAATAATTCTAGTTGTTCTATTGGTTAAATTTCAAATTACTTTTTCTTTTCCAAGTAATTTACATAAAATAGGATTTTTTCCTATTCTCAATTAATCCTGTATAATTCAGAATAAGCTTTCTTCTATTAATTTATTATCAGTTTAACTTTTTGTATCCCCTTAACATACTTAAATGCGAAAAAACGTTTTGCTCAATGTCTTCAGGAACTGGATATTCTGAATTTACCTTGTTGTGCATGGTACTAATGTCGACAGATATAAGTAGTATGTATCACTAATCAGAAGTGGAATCCTTGACAGTAGAAGGTTGAGATCAAGTCCAAGAGAACGAGAACAGAGAATAATTTTGATAACAACGAAGGTACGATGAAGTTTGAGACAATGGAGGGCAGATTCGCAAATGAAGTATTGAATGCATGGTTTTCACATTTTACGAAAGAACTTTGTAATTTTGTTTTAAACAATAAATTGGCTATCCTCACTTTAGTTCTCGTTCATCACAACCTAATTCTATTTTTAAAGAAAATAATGAAACTACTGATATTAGTTTTCATTCATTATGTCCCCTATTCATTGTGCTGAATGAAATCATTATTGGTAATATATTTATTTCTTAAATTTTATCTATGAAATAATTACAGAAGCTTGAAGTAAAGACAAACCTTTTATTTAAGTATTCTCATGATAACATATTCATGTAAAATTGGTCTCCAGTATTTCAAAGGCTTAAATAGCAATAAAAAAATCTTGGACACAAAAGTACTAATAATGTTTAAGTCAGTCAAGCATAACTAATTTATGTGTCAATGAAAAATATGTTTAAGTACAGGCAAAATTTATTCATCAGTAAATTACTTAAATGAAGTTTTACATTTTACATGTGTCGTGATGACAGTCACTTAAAGTTTTGACTCTTTACTCGCCTCATCTTTTAACATAATAATAAATAGTGTTTAGTGGAAACGCTTAACGTCAGTTATTTCTGAATGTTATTTATATTACTTTCTATAAAATTCACTGAATAAAAGTATCAAAGCTTTTACAACTACAGATTAGCTTAAGGGTACCTTATCAGGTATTCCTCACTTTTGTGTTTTGCACTGTAAGAGGAAGACATTTAAAAAAATACCGGTTGACGACAAAACATTCTTTGAAGAGATTGCCAGTGAATGATGTTTCAAGTATTGTCAGAGTTTATACAAAACTACGACATAAAGTTTCTTATGGTTCTCAAAGCATCAAATGTTGTATAACAATAAAATGAGCTAAAACTATAGTTCATTTTACGATTAATTTATTTAAACTGAACATATTTAAATTATTACTGGAGAGTAAAATTTACACATGATACTCAAAGATAGTTGAACAATGAGCATAATGTATTGTTATTTATTCGAAAAAAGTATTTACTGTCGAAAATTATTTGGAAAGATAACTGATTGATGTTTTTTTTAAAATATTCCATGAATGGTGAGTATGTAATCAGAAAATTATATAGTTTAGAAATTACAGAATACTATAAGCAGATCTAAAGAATATTGCTTTTTCCGTTTGAGAACATTCAACCAAACGAAACATTTCAAATCTATATCCAAGTTTATTGGAGTGATTATTGATGAGTTTGTACTAATTCCCTTTTGCATGTCAATATACTACAGCTGTTATTCTTACGGAAGAAAGGTGAAATGTATTGGTTTCATTATGAAAAATCATTTATCAGCCATCAAAACGATAAATCGTTACATCCCAAATGCTTTTTTTTTTATCAAACTTCAACTTAATCCGCTAAATTGCAACAATAATCAACTAGGAGAATAAAGAGTAAAGTAAAAAAAGATTACAGCGATGACAGTCTCTGAAAATTATTCATTAACAGTTTTACAATTATTTATATGGACCGATTCTTTAACGATAGACTATTTTATAGTACCTAGAATCGCGTTATATAGTTCTTACTGCTGATTCGAAAAAAAAATCTTTTTTTTACTTTGAATTCTTTGAGACCGAAAGAATCTACCAAACTATTAACGGTCATAGGGAATCGACAACAGTACTACGTTTCTTTAGGGATACATGATCATTTTATTTAATGACATGAATGTCATGATTTGCATACAAATGATAGTTGGGGAGGATTTAGTTCAAACTGGAGTATATACTTAACAGTACCATACAAAAGAGACGGCAAAATGTAAGCATTATATGTACAGCGTTTTGATTTGTAAGCAAAGATGTAACTTACATGTATATCCCTCATAATTAATCTGCATCAGAAGAGAATTTTTAGCTTCAAGTTTCATATTTTCAATATCCAGTTTTGATAAATTAGTTTTATCTGAATTTCCAGTTATTGAAAAATTTACTTTCGGTCCAAAACCACTAGTTGTAGTCGCTGAAGTTCTTGACCATTGAACTGAATCGGTGTCATCAGGAGAACTAGGACTACTTGGTGTCATATTCGCTGTTGTATTTGTTGTTGCTGATGTTGCTGTATCAACAATAGGACGATTATTAAAAACTGCTTCTAACATTGAACTAATTATATCCTCTAAGGTGGATCCATCCAAATCCAATAAAAGAGTTGCTTCTTTTATAAACATATCAATATCCAGATTCGCTCTCACTTCAGATGCAAAATCTTTAAGTGTTAATTTCTGAAAATAAATTTTAGAAAAATCAAAAATATCCTGATAATTAAAATCAATAAAACAATAATAATTTCTAAAAGGTAATTACAGTGAAAAGCTGTTAAATTATATATTTATTATTAATTATTAACAACTGTTATCTCACAAATGGTTAGCACAATTGTTTCATTAGAAGTAAAAGTAAATATTGTTGGGTAAACATCACTGAATTACGTAATATTCTAAGTCAAAATATAGAATTAATCTAAAGAAATATATTGATTGTAATTTTTTTTATTGTTTTGTATGGTTTGTTGATTAAATATTCAACAGTGAAACAATTTGGAACGTATAGGCTGATATTAAAGAAATTGGATAAATTCATAATGTTTCAATAAAATATTTTGATATTTTCGGTGGCGGGCATTTTATAGGCATATGATGTTAATTTTTACTTCTTTATACTAGGAGATATAGAGAAATTAATAATTAATTATTACCACTAAAGAATTGTGGAGATTATTACGTTTTTGATTGATGTTAGACCACCATTGAAAACCTGGAAGCACTAGACGGCCGACATGTATTAACTTTATCGGTCACTTCTCACTAGAACTCTGAGAATTCCCCCTCACATAGAGACAGCTATCTACTTCAGTATAATGGAAGGTGGTGACGCAATTTCGTGAATTGAACATCAACACCATTGGATACGGCTCAGTAGTCTAGAGGTTAAGCATTTGGGCGCGAGATCAAAGGCTCTGGTTTCGAATCTTTTGAGCGTAACCGTGCATACACACTACTAAAGAGACCCACAACAAAACGAAATGACGTCCAGTGCTTCTAGATTTTTAATGATGGTTTATGATTTCAATCAAAAGAATTAATTATTATAAATTTTATCTGATCTAAACCTTGAATGATTAGTTAATTTATATTACAGAATGATGATACAAAAAAAAGTATAATGAAAATAATCAAAAAAAATTTGAAAAATCAATAAGTCCATAGGGTATTGTAAGAATAAGTAAATAAGCTTATTTGTTTTGTTTCTAGGGGAAAAAATTGATTTTACATTTTATATCCATAAAAAGTACTTGTCTCGTTTACTTTTTCTTGTTTTTTTTGCAGTAAGTAAACTAGTAATTTAGAATTGGGAAAATTTTCTTTAAGCTTAAGTTTTAATATTCTTATAGTGTACTTCAAAAGAAACTGAGTTTCATTATATTAGATAATAGATATTTTTATAAAGGCGTATAAAGAGTCGTTTTTATTTCTGGGTAATATATATATATAATAATAATAAAAATTAATAAGTTTGCTTTTCTCATTTCCAAAGTCTATTTTTCAAATTACTAAAATTTAGTCTAATCTAATTTATATCAGACATATGATTTGATGCGAAAACAATATTCTATGTCTAGTTTCAATTGACTTATGAACTCAATTATTAAATTACTATCATATTCAATCATAATCTCTTAGTGATAATATTCTATGTTTGTTTATTAATTCATATGTCTAGTCAATTTTAATGATTACTTATACTTGACTGTTCATTGTATAGTTTATTTATTATGAAATTTCTAATGTATTAACACTATGTTGTTGTGTAACTAATTATCTATAAGTGTTGTTATGATATAATTCAGTAAATCTGTTGTTCTTTATGATAGAACGTAATATTATTACATGAATATTGACGTAATAGACAATATAATAAAATTTATTTGATTACATTTTGTTACTAAGACATGAAAGGTAAAGCATATAAATATGCTCGAAAGAATAATAATTAATTTCTATCTAATGATACAAAATATGAATATAAACACAAAACTCATTTCGAAAATAATGATAAACATTTTAGTAGAAATATCTGATTTGATTAATCACAAAAAATAAATAATTTCTTTACTATTTAATAGACTTTTAGATATCAACTCCAACGAATTGAACACGTCGGAAGTATATTAGTGCGTTTAATCTTGAAAATAATAAAACGAATTGTTGATAAAATAGATTACTTGAATTGGTAAAAGTAAGTTTTCAGTAAAAGAAATTAAGAAATAGGCATGTATATACATACTTATACATACATATACATGTGAGGTAAAATATTTATTAAAAGAAGTATAGTGTAGTGAATGAGAACATAAGTGGGAACAATCGAATATATGTGAATACAAAATTACAGGAAATCTTTGTAAAATTTGTGTACCATACAGTAAATACTTCATTTGAAAAAATGTCAATCAATTGTCTGAAACGTGACAGTTCTTTTTGCAAATATCAGTTAATTGTTTCAGACTTTATTGTTCCTTCGTTTCTACACCAATCATTTATTATTCTCGTTCTCATTCGTTGATCTTCTTAACCTTCTGCCTCCAGGAATTTCACTTTCGATTAATGATACATACTACATATATCTGTCGATAACTGTAGCACACACCACAATAGTAGCGATTCTGACGACTCTTAAGTCTATGAAATTTCCATCAAAACCAACTCATATGAATTTGTATGTGTTTTTATGTCATAATCTTTAATTAAGAACTTCAATCTCTCCTTGACATGCTATGAAATATTCCATTTAATTGTGTTGAAAGTAATAATCCAAATCAAATCATTAACAGTTTAATTCTGCAAAGAATATTCATATATTACTAATCGAAAGGGTAACACAGAAATCATTTTATTTTTTATCATTCTTTTTTCTGAAGACGTCATATATGTGTAATAAGTTAAAAACTTTGTTAATAAGTGATTTCATGACATAAACATGATTACGATAGAATGCCTGAACTCAAAATTTAAACCAAATAATTTGTCGATGAAATCGATTTTCAGATTTTAATCAAACAGGGTTTAAAAACAGAATAGTAACTAAAAACGTATCAGGGTAATACGACGTTCAGTTTTATACCAAACATTTAATCGAAATAGTTTGAGTTGTTAAGTTACATGTTAGTTTCCTCAGTGAATATAGAGGTCACAAAGCGAAAAACGATCCTCCAGTCAACTCTTTTCCTTATTGGAGAACATTACAAATACTTCAAGAGTTTCCTTAAAAACTGAAACAAGCAAAACTACATGAAGTATATAATCTACTATACAATTATTCAAGGATATTCACTTATCATAAGCATTTCTGAAAACCATGCAAAATTTCAAATTTTTTAGCTTTCTAGCTTACTCATGGAAATGAATGGTAGGTTTGAGTTAAAATTTACTCCAAAGTCTTGTTATGCCACAACAAGCTATGCGAATTGCACGTAAATAAGTTCTTTATGAGATGTAATTTACCAGCAGGTTGTTTCTAAATTTAAAGTATAATATTGATCCATGATTCCCTTCTAACTGTATGTTTTTTTATCTTTAATCCTCAGGTGAATTAAATTACTGAACTGTAGAATACATTCTGTCTATGCATGAATAAATTCTAAATTTATAATTCTATTGTATAAAATAAAGAATGTAGGCTAAATCTATATAAGTTACAAAAGTACTAACTTTCAATTGAATATTCCCATTACTTAAAGTAAATGAATATCTACTTCAAACAATTGTTTATTTTTCGGAAATAAATGTGAATTTATGCATTACGACAAAATGAAGTAAGGATTAAATTTATCCAAAGACTAGTAGAATTATTAAAATTTATATCCTGAATTATACTATCCCTTTCATCTCAAAATATCATTATCTATTTATTCATTAATAGGTAACACAATTCATAGTGAATATGATTTATTAGTCTATAATCAAATCATAAACATATCTTACTTACTTACTTACTTACACCTATTACTTCTCAAGGAGGAGCATAGGCCACTTATCAGCGATCTCAAAAAATCTAATTTCCGAAAGCAGTAGACTTTTGTTTGAAAAAATATTTCAGACTTAATAATCGACGAGTAACTCCACCTGGAGTCCCTTCGGGGGTACTGTCGGTCCCAAGCCCAGATAAAGGAGGAGGGTTGGGCATGGGGTTAGCGACCCCATCCCGTAGAAAACAAACTCGCTAAAAAAACGCTAAAAACGCTAAATAATCAATAAGTAATTTGGTATTGATTTTCTTGCGACTTTTCAAAGACCAAAAAAATATAATAAAATTAGCAATATACCGTAGACAGATGCGTTGAAAATATCATGAAAATTTCACAATATATATCTGGTATTCAGATGAAGGAGATTTAATATAAAGGTGGAAAATTGTATGTCAGGAAGACAATAGATGAAGATTTACTTGGCGCTAAATATAAATCAAAATGACGACAGTACAAATAATTTACATGCGGTTTATACTTGTCAACAATTAGATTTATATAAATTGAGTAGTACCTGTTGTCAGTTTCATAAGTTATTCACATGCTAATCAATTACTCCTTCGGTTACCCTGTCAAGATTTGTTTAAAAAAATATCATTTAACTTCAATATTTATTAGCTTTTCAGGATTACATAAACTTGAATAAAACATTCAAATGTTTAAATTTGCAAAATTAGATTGTTTCACGATCTTCGAATACAAAATATATGGTATTATAAACAACAGATTGAAACAATGCAGCAGCCATCAGTACAATAAATTGTTTACATAAGTTTAGTTGTGTGTTTACTTGAATCTTTTCATTGATATTTAGCACTGCAACTGATCAATATCTTATTGGTATATGTGCATACTGTGCGGATTGCCTTGATATTGCCTTAATTCACAAGAATTATAAATAAAGATGGATAGTGGCTAGCAGTGGAATCGAGGACGCGCGTTTCGTCCTATTTGGGACTCGTCAACTGGATGTACCTGAAAGAGGCTATCAGGACCCAGTAGCTAAGCGGATAACGTGATGGCGTTTGAAGCCAACGGTATTGGCTTCGAGTCCCAGAGTGAACATCGATTCCGTGGTGCAGGCACATTCAGCTGATAAGCCCTAAATTGGACGAAACGCGCTTCCTGGATTCCACTGTTAGTCACTATCGATCTTTGCTTATTTTTCTTTTGTCTTCATTATTCAACTTAACAGGG